AAAAAATCTGGTCAAAACGGGTAAAACTGATAGTATTTGTGTCCGGCCCCATTTCACTCAAACTGCAGAGCAACACAGGCTTCATGATCGAAGATTGATCAGAGAGTTTAGATCACCTCCACACTTCTGTCCATATCCCCTCTCTGCTGTGAGTCTGCAGTTCACTCAGTCAACTGGTGTTTTTCATGCAATGCGCCAAAGTACAAGAGCACCTGGCTTTAAATGGGAGATGACACGGATTGGTGTATTGCATGTTATGCCCTACACACCCATGACTAATTCACAGACCAAGTACGACCCTTTTGATCCATGCGCCCGGCGCACAGACCATTTTTTCTGCCGTCAAACGAGCAAAATTAGAGACCCCCCAAACGCAACTGCGCCAAGCACTTTACGCCGTGAAGAGCCCTGCGTATTGATATATCTATATCTCTATAAAGATTTGCCACCTCGCCATTTTTAACTGCCCCCTCAGTCACTTCATCCTGGCTCCGGGCCTGCACCATGCTCAGAATTGGACCCTCTTTATTGCTGCGAGACCACCTCAGTGGTCCTGTAAGACCTGACATTGCTAGTTTCCAGTCGACGCAGTTGTCATTTCCACCCCAAGCGCCCACGCTGTTTAAATGGCAAATGCACTTGCGCACATCAAAGGTATTTATATTTTTCCAATTTCACCATGGAGGACCCATCTTCAAAATAAAGTTGCAAGTTAAGAGCACAAGGTTTTTCATATTCAACAATAATTTGTTATTATGAAGCCATTTTTGAGTTATAATAAAGTCAGCTGGTAACATGTTCTGGATACAGTGAATATCAGAGTCAGCAGTGTAAATTAAGGTATCAGCATAAAGATGGCTTATATTCCTATAAGGAACCCAATTAAAATGATTCCAGAACTGTCAAGGGTTATGAAGGTCATTAAGAAAGCAGTCTCTATAGTAACTGGATTTAGCGTTTCGGGTTTGAGTCTTGCACTGATTCCTAAGAGATCTATAACGATCCCCGTCAGAGGCAGATTTAGTAAGGCGATAATTGGCCCATGCCTCATCTCTTTGCTTAAAAAGATTGATTAGATGAGAGCTGATCCAGGGTAAGTGCTTCCCTTTAACTCTAATAGTTGTAAACAGAAAATGCTCATCAATTACATTGATGAGTTCAGAGTGAAAAAAGGTCCATGCATCTTCAACAAAAAGGAATTAGCTGGAACCTGTCACAATTATTAGAGTTTAAATCAGCATTAGTATTTTTACATTGACGCATTCTAATATATTTAGAAGAGAAATGTGGCATTTTGATGTTCCAAACACAATAAATGAAATTTTTTTAAATCAGCTAAGACACCAGATTTAAATATCCTTTCCGGATTAGAGACCAGTATCAAGTCAAGCAAAGATGAGGACCGGCTATCCACTCTAGTGGGTTCCTTAATAAGCTGTGTGAGATTAACACTACTAAATAAGTTTTTATCACCAGCGGCGGAACGATCAAGCCAATTGCAGTTGAAATCGCCAAGAATAAGCAATTCTTTATGCCTGCCTAATGAGTAAATTGTGGACAAAATGCACTTTGTGGAATCTGATGGGGCAGACAGAGGCCTATAAATATTGCCAATAATTAAATGTTTATTTACATGAAAGATAATATTTATAAAAAGACTTTCAAAGTTAACTGGATCTACTTCAGGAGTAATACATTCAGAGATAACATTTGCATCAACATGTGTGACCACCCCACCTCCTCTGGACAATCTATCGGCTCTGTGCAGTACATCATCATTGATTTGAATATCATTCTCACCATTTTATTTAGCCAGGTTTCTGAGATAGTAATAATGTTAGGTTAGAGCCTGGGTTGCTCAGTACAAAGAAAAACAATTTTTGAAGCAAGACTCTGATATTAATGTGAATGACCTTTAGACGGATTCCATTGAAAATGAGAAGAAAAGAAGAACATGTCAGGGTACCATACTGAAAAGTGTGGAAGGGGAGGGTGTAAAAAGCTGCAATAGCAACAGACCATAGCAAAAGTGTACAACAAAACAAGTGAACAAAAAAACAAGTTAAACATACAAACTTCTACTGAGCACAATTGTTCATCGATCATTAACTATTAAGAATAAATGACTCAGGGAGTCTCAAAACAAACATAAATAAGTGGCTAAACTTTACTTTATTTTAATCATTAATCAATTCATAATAGTTTCACAGTGAAGGCATGAGATAAATTAACAACTAGACAAATTATGAGGGATGCATGTGACAAAGAATATTGTATTCTAGAGTCCCAAACTAAAGACTCACATTAGCTACTCATAAGCAGGCCAAAAGGACAAACCAGATCAGGCCTCAGACTAAGACAACCAGCCATCAGCAGGGGAAAAAAAGCAATATTCAAACAGAAAAGTCAAGACAGAACTACTGCAGTCCAAACGGTATCAATAAACAAGCAAGCCTTTAAAAAGAGCAATATAGCATATATATGCAGTTGAGTAGTAGAATTAAAGCAAACAGCAAAGCGCAGTAACGAAAACGCCAGAGAATTCCAATTCGCAGGAAGGAGTGATGCTGCATAGTCTCTGGCTTCATCAGCTGAGGAGAACATTTTCCCCCCTCCCTCCTTCACATTGATGGAAAGTCTTGCAGGAAACAGAATTGGACTAGCCTCAAACACATGGTTCAAATTACAGGGGGGATTGGGTGAGTCTGACGACCCCCCCCCCCCTAATTAAGGCTTGGACCTCCGCAAAAGAGGCAACAACAACAGTTCGGGGGGGTTCTTACTTGTCATTATAAAAATTTAAATATATTTCCGGACTCAACACGGGTACTTAGGCATGAGCAGTGAAATTGAGGGTTAGTTATTGTAGATACACATTTTGACATCAAAATAGGTAAATGTTAAAATCCAGGTTTGTTATTTCAAATAGATTCAGTTTTATTTATATAGCGCCAATTCATAAAAAAGCCATCTCATTGCACTTTTTATACAGAGCAGGTCTAGACAGTAGCCTACCCTGTCTAGACCCCCAAATTCGCAATTCCCTAACAGTGCATGACAACCGTTTTATTGAAGGCAGATTCCATTTCATTCACAGTCAACATGAGCAAAAGCAAAGGAGATGTTTGCTAAAAAAGTTGAAACTTAAAACATGAAATCATAATTATTAAGAATTAGATATGATAATTCAGATTCAGTTTTATGATAGTGTCTTTGGTTCTGGTTCAGTTGTGTGTGTGTTTTGAACGGTCATGATGGTCTGCTGTTGTGTGTCTGACTTTCTAGCAGTTTTGCTGTAGAATAGTCCCATCGGACTACAAAAGTTGTCATATGGGGCACCCATCAACTGGGTGAATTTGATTTTTCATCTACAGACTGCACACAATAGATAAATAAGCAAGGATATTGTAAGATTTTAAGTTTACTGAACCCCGCGCTTTACTGGGTTCTCTTTTTGACCTGGGGTGCTTCAAGTCTCTTAATTGCGTCCACGTTTCCCTCACTTGCGTCTTAGTCCTGCCCACCGGGGATTCATGGAGACGCAAGTAAACCAAGCCAGGAGAGAAGGGACGAGGAAACATGTTTTTAGAGACATGAGACGTCCTTTCCTCCGAAGCCTCACATGAAGCGACGTCCGTTTCTGCTGTCAGTCGGCTCTGTAGAGACTTATTGGAGTTTGTGTCTGCACACCTGTGCTGTTCTGATACTAATAAAGTCTCAGTTATCTGTGCACAGCAGCATGATTCGCTCTGTAGCTTTTACCCATTTAACAAACACCTGCACATGAATAATTAGGTTTCTTTGTCCTATACGCAGAGGCACAGGATCATATCTACTGGCACAATACTGACATTATCTGCATTTATATTTATTGATTCTGGTTGTGAATTCATTAGTGAATAACCCAGAATATGTCTTGGGATTTATTAGACTAAAGGTTTAAGAGAAATGAAAATGTTACTCTAAGTCGATGCTCAGTTTTAGGCTTTCAGTTTATTTTCTCTTCTGATCTCCTTTAACACTATAGCCTACTGTATAGGCTACATTAAATTTCACATCACTCGTCACTGATCGTTCACTGCGTTCCATCATAGCAATCTGACGCTTTTTAGCACATTTTCATTCATACCTTCAGCTAGAGCAGAGCAGAGCCGCCAGCTGCTTTCATCAGATGCAGTAGGTGAGATCGGCTGGATGAGCGGCTTTATTTTCCTTTGCTTGCTTCAAAAAGTCTAAAGTGCAGTTTAGGGACTTGTCTGACACCTAACTTGTTTACTATGTTTTATAGTCGTCTATTTGGACTAAACGACCAGCCTCACATGACTGAATAGACATGACGATAAATTATGTAACACATGTTTCTTGCTGACAGACTCTGACTCTAATTGTCTCCATAAAAGTTGATGGGAGAAATAAAACAAATAAAATCTTTCTAATAAAGTTGTGTGTGGGGCTTTTGTTGTTCAGACCTACAATGAACTCAGGTTTTAACTAGACAGTGAATCAAAACACAAATACGCTTTGCATTGATGCACTTGAGTTTAATGTCATCTGTCATGATGCATCAGATCAGTCCGATAAACTGCAACGTCCAATCAACATAACGGCTACCCAGTAAGGGGCGTATCGGTCAGTAAGAGACTTCCGCGAAAGATGCAATGGTGTATCCTTGCTCATAGCTTCTCAGAGATCGCTCCTCATTCCTAGGAGCGCAAATAAGAGGGAAAAAAACTGCGCCACGCGCTTCACGCTGTATGCTTACATCTGGCCAGGCTGGTGGTGGCGCTAAAAGAGGAATCGCCACCAGAATCCGACAAAGCCACCTGGGTACTTCCACCCCAGGAAATGCTCAATTTCTACTTTGACTAAACCTTTATACAAAGGCTACAGGTAAGTAAGACCGAGACATGGCTCCCAAAGAATAACTTATTGATAATCGGTAACTGGAAATGCCTGAAAAGAGGATGGTGAATAATACAAATAATCAAATTACAATGGAATAAAAGTTTTACAAATTTGGCAAACAAGTTACTTATTTTATTTTAACAAAACACTCCCAGTTATTACTGATTATTGGACCAAACAAAAAGTTAGAGTGGGCCAGGGCATGTGGAGAGGCAGTCTAACTAAGGGTGTGCTCCAGGGGTGCAACAACTTCCCCACCTCATGTGCTCACTGCAATCCATGGTCACTGCAAACCGGTTCACTGCAGATCGTGTCACCAAATCGTGCCCCAGTGCCGTGAACACTACAATCAGTGAAGGAACCCACACTAGTGTGCCTAGCTTCCACCACAAGCTGACCACTTGCACCACTGAAAAGAACAAAACCACAAGTTAAATAAAAACACAATGGACCAGTTGGTTATATCTAAAATAAAAATAATAAAATAAAAATACAAGTATAGTCCACTAGGAGAGTGCCGGTTGGAGGCACTGCAGCCAGAGTGTACCAGCAACGATGGTTAAAATCCTAATTTCACAAAGCCAAAACAGCAGCTGATAGCCTACTTGTTGCTCCTTAAGCTTCTCCTACCTTAACACAGGGTGCTGTGTAAGGAACAATACATCAGGCCACTCCAGACAGGGAACCTTGGAATCAGCCAAACTACATAAAACAGGCTGGCAGTAGACTGCTGCAAAACATACAACCTCAGTCACTGGGAAAAGACAATGAAAACATAAGACAAAGTTTTTACTCACTCACCTACCTAGACATCACAGAGGGTTCATGTGGCAACAGACAGGCAGGGAAAAGGCAAAGAGGCAGCCATGAGACATACAGCTGCTTTAAATAAGCTCAGCTAATGAGGGGATTTGATCTGGGTGGAGCTAATTCGATGCTCCAGAGGTGCAGAGAAGAGCGAGGCTAAAAACCTGTAAGCCTGCATAGAAAACACACACCACTACACATCGTTAAAATAGGCCCCCTGCAGTCCTGCTTCATATCTAGGTTGAACTATGTGCTACTACCCAAACTGAGGGTCTCAGCAGAGGATAAGCGGGCACGAGGTGCGACTTCACAGGCAGGGCTGGACTGGGACAAAAAAATCGGCCCTGGTATTTTTGTCCCAGGTGGCAAACCAAAATTGGCTGGACACTCCTCACACCATCCTTCCATTTAAGGGCTCAGATTAGCGGTGTGACAAAACAATTAGCCAATGAGAGTAACATAGCACAAGATTGGGGCCATGTCAGTAAAACAAGAACATATTTGAATAGGCCTAGTTGTTTGAAAAAAAAAATTGATTGGGGGGTGTGGGGGTCTTCCCCCCGAAGATTCTGAGCATTAAACACTTAATTTTCTGCATTCTGGGCAAATTTTTTGGGGACATTTTCTGCACCAGGGAAGCACAAAATTAAGCTGGAAGGTGACAATTCAGAATATAAAAATATAATAGTACAATGCAGTAATCATTAGCTTATTATTCTTTTAGCTTAAGTTACTTTTTTAGACAACGCAGTTTTCTTCTATATTTAGTGTCAGTATAGAAAATTACCCAATTGACCGCTGTCCATGCTTTATGGGCCTGTCATTGGCACAGTTATATAAATTCATAATTTACGTTGCACCGGCGGCCCCAAAGATGCGTCGACCCACCGGGCATTTGCCCGGTATGCCAGATTAACAATCCAGCTCTTCATGGTGGTCTCTAACTAACGTTACTAGGCGGAGATAAATAAACAAACAAATAAATAATAAGGAGAGAGAGAGAGAGAGATCATTGCTTATTATGTGGTCCAACATTTTCCTCTCTCACACACGCAACGCACAAATACACACACAGCAGTCCACTACATTCCCCAGATCTCTGCGATATTGCAACAAAGGGCTGGCTGAGTGCAGTCTTAAGTGTGAACCCAAACGCAGACACAGGCAGAGGATGCAGTTCAACAAAAGATTTATTCTCTAACAAAACAGAGATAGGCTCAGGCTTACTCGCAAATGCAGGCAAAGTCCAAAGAAATTAAAATGAAACATAATCCAAGGGAATAATCCAGAAAACAAGGAACAAGGTACAAATCCAAAAACACAGAGAACAAGGCATGGCTCATTATCTGCATTAGACAAGAATGTCACAAAGACTGAACAGAACAAGCAAACATTTAAACACCAGATAAAGAGCAGGGCGGGACCAAGACCAGGTAGAGGACAGAACACAGACATAGACAAGCAGGTGAAACCAATAGGAGGAACAGACAGGACCAGACCGAAATGCAGAAACACAAACTGAACATCAAAAGGCAAGCACAACACAACAGGAAACAAACATGCAAGACTAAACACTGTCAAATAAACAATCACCAAACAGAGAACACAAACCAACTCTTAGCAGACAGAAGAGTATAAACATACTACAACCTAACAAGAAACAAACTCAGACTAGGATGAAACAGAACACAAGGTAGACAAGACCAAAATAACAACACAGAACTACACTGACCAGGAGTAACAGTAGAACATGAACTAAAACGCAGGACTAAAACTAAGGCAAAGAACTAAAACGCAGGACTAAGAACTAAGATAAGAGAAAAGACAGATACTAATTAAACTTAAATATATGAATGAACAAAAGACTAAACTTTGCTACAAAACACAAAACCTCAAACCTGACAAGATCAAATAACGCTTACAGAAACACAGAACCCAAAACCAAACCCAAGAAACAGGAAAAATCATGAACACAAAACCACATTCCTAACACAAAGTTTAAGTTTCAACAGCCTGTAAAATGCCATAAAAGACTAATGCTCAAGGAATAACCGCAATTCCGCCCTTCATATTAAGGTCATATTAAGGTTTTATTATTTTACACACCGCTTGCTGCTGGCAGTATATTACACTGAACAAAATTATAAATGCAACACTTTTCTTTTTGTATCATGAGCTGAACTCAAAGATCTAAGACTTTCTCTATTTCTCTCAAAAATTGTTGTTAGTGAGCACTTCTTCTTTGCCGATATAATCCATCCAACTCACAGGTGTGGCATATCAAGATGCTGATCAGACAGCATGGATATTGCACAGGTGTGCCTTAGGCTGGCCACAATAAAAGTCCACTCGAAAATGTGCAGTTCCATAACAGAGCACAATGCCACAGATGTGGCAAGTGACAGGAATGTCCACCAGAACCTATAAATGTATTAACATTATACATGTTACTTTTTATTTAATGTGATAATATCATATTAATATACTAATACACAAATGTATACCAGCCAATACACACGACAACATCAGACTGGGGAGGACCGGCACTTATTATTTTCAACTTTTGCACTAGATACATTGTAATGTTTTATATATTTTTCAGGTGCTCAGCGCATTGACTACATATCTCCAAATCTGGGAAGCATCAATGGAGCAACACGACTTACCATATCAGGATCTGGTAAGAGATTTAATCCTCAAATAAAACAAGTTACAGTTTTGTTTTATGGCAACATTTAATCCAAAATGATGGTGCTTAATCTTTGTTACGGACCTAATCAATAACTCCAAATATTATTTTTTGTTTCAGCTATCAGACTTTCAAAGAGATTATGCACATAAATTAAATACATATTGATTAAAATGATCAAAATTGTCAAAAAAATCTTGTTTGTACTGTCTTTATGATACTTCTTAGTCCAAGAGATGAAATTAGGTGCGGTAGTTATAATAGTTGCAAGGTATTATTTGTTTCTAAACAAGATTCAACTCCCAATCCAACACCTTTGGGATTCCAGCTAAAGTTTCATGAGTTTCAAAAGTGTTTTCATGATGCTAAATGATTTCCTTCCATAGGATCAACCTTTTGTCATCCACACAAACATTGTTTTAAAAGTGATTATTTTTGTGGGGTTTGTATTCCAGGTTTTGCCCAGGAGCGACAGTTCCAACTGAATCCAATCGATGACACATTTGGCAACCGTGTGACACTGGTGTCTGACACCCTGTCAGTCCCCTGTGATGTGGAGAGGGACTCAACACACGGCAACAAGATCATGTGTTACACCAGGTAGCCACCTGGCCAAGGAAACTTTTTTGAATATACAATTTTTTTTATACTCGTCTCCTAAGTATATATGTGTCTTCATGCATATGATCATCTAAATTGATTAACTTTGTCTATCACAGAGCCATGCCAAGTGATTGGTATGTGGTCCATGTAAGTGTGGACGGTGTTCCCATTCCGGACAGCAATATATGCTGGGGCGCATACAAACCATACCAATGCAGCATCTATGTAAGTTTGCAGCTAATGCAACACAGACTCCTTAATTTACAAGTTAATTGATCCTGCAGTCAAGCATTTGGATTTTAACAGTTTTTTTCCCATTCTTGCTGTAACTCTCCCCAGACTTACACTTATCGCACGCCAACTATCAGCTCTCTGACTCCAGTCAGTGGCCCCCCAGGTACACCGTTTACACTTGACAGCATGTAGTGATTCTAATGAGTGCAGTTTCAACTTTATATTTACACCATTTCAAAATCACTGCAGGCACCTTAGTGACACTGCGAGGAATGATCTTCACTGATGTGTATGGAAGCAACACTGACAAGAGCTCCAATGGTTACAATGTCAGATTTCTGAGGTAAAAGAATAAAATAAAACATAGATGATTTTTTTTTTAACATAAGGGACATTCCTGACTGCTGTATGGCGATGCCCTATAAAAGAAAGCAGACTGACCCTTTAATAAAGGCTGACAAAGTAGTCTTTTCTTTAAACTTTAATTCTTTAAAGAGGTTCATTTTCATTGAAAACAGCTGAAATTATCTCAACCTACTTAAACGTTTTCACTTGTTTTAAGAAAATGTAAGTCTGTGTGTTACAGAAGAGATTTATTTACTTGGTCGTTAACTACCAATTTCATTTAAACATTAAAATGTATACTTTCAAATGTTGCTTGTTTATTGCAGAGCCTACATGGGAGGGATGCCATGTGAGCTGCTTAAACCGGAGTCAGATGAGCTGTAAGTAGCTTGTTCAGATGTAGATTATATTTAGAAATGAAATCACAGCTAAAACACAGCAAAATGTATTATAGACAATAAACATATCGAGTCAAGTTCAGATATGTCCCACAGCTGCAAAGAAATGTTTTGAGTGATGGATTTATGTTAAACAAATACAATAAATTTAATATAAATAAAATACTAATAAAAAGTGATATGCTATTTTGTACAGTCTTTAAAGTTTTTGTAAATATTTCTAAAGATATAACCTGCGACTGGACTATACATACTCAGTTTGGGGTTACATGAGCTGCAAAATGACGGGGACATATGTTGGTAAGATGGTTTTGTTCACAATTACAGCTTCTCTTAATATACTGTATATATTAATCACTCATCATCAACCGCATTTTGAAACTTTACAAACAGTCCTTTAATAATTATGGTTCTTTTCCAACAGGGCATCACAACTTGACTTACATACTTGATAATGATTTTGGAAGGTAATTCACTTTTTTAAGTAACTGACTTCATGGTAAGTCCAGTTTTGGTATTTTTTACATTTTGACTTCAGGTTAAGATTTGCATACATTGCTTAAGAAATACCTCTAACCACTGGCTTTATTCAACATTAGAAACAGTTCCTGAAGATTTGACTCTTGGTGATAAATTGTTTCACTCAACAGCAGTATTAATTTATGAACAACTACAATATTATTCATTCCTTTCTTTAAAATCATTAGGAGTTTAGCAGACAAGAAACTTTTCCGGGTTTCAGCTTTGGGAAAGCTCTCCATGTTTCAGACCTTTGCAGGTACATTAGACAGAGAGACATTTGTCCACGATTAATGTGGTAGCATTTCTAAGTTATTCTCCGTAGTTTCTGTTCTTATTACATTTGAATGTTTGTCATGTCTTTTATTTAGAAGTGACAGGAGTCTCCCCATCCAGGGGAAGCATCATGGGTGGAACTCTGTTGACTGTCAAAGGCCGCTTCTTCGACCAAACCGATCACCCAGCACGTGTTCTTGTTGGAGGTAATTATCACCATCAGACTGGAAACTTACACTTCCCAGCTATAGGTAGTTTTTAATGCCATGACAACTTTTCTGATATTGTTTTCACACAGTGTTTGAGAATGTGGTGCGTCTCTACCAAACAAAACTCTAGTGAACCCTCAAGTCGCTCAGTAGTGAGAATTTCTAATCAAAACAACAGAATGTGCGCATACTTTAAGACACATCAAACAACAGAACACCATAGAGAGGTTACACGGTAGAGGAAAGACTTTTTCGAAAGCTTGGTAATGCAACAGACCATGACAAAACAAGCTGGTCTTGTCTTTCATTAGACTTCAAGAGTCGTTTAACTGGCTCTTAACTTTAGGTTTTACAGGAAGTAAAACATGTACTGTAACATTACCTTTACTGTCTGTACCTCTGTGTGTATATTGTATATTGTACAGGCTGCCTCCCTCTCACTTGAATGAGCTCTTATTGACACAATCATAAAATCTGATATGTAATCACAATTTATTGCCCAGTAGGTTTACATTGTAGGTACATTGGTGCATAACAATAAACATAGTATGAAGTAAGTAACAAGTAAAATAAATAAACTAAAACTAAGAAAATTATTATAAAAAAAGAATAAAATAATACGTACATTATGTTTTTTAGATGAAAAAGCTGTATAGGTGTGCAGTGTTGTACAAACAATTTGACAATGATGATGATGAACTTAGATCAACAGCACACAAAGTCAAAGTATATCTATTCATATAATTGATCTAACCAGATTTTTCAGACTTAATGTTTACACTGAAATTCAAATAGCATATTGCTGATAAAGCATGTATTAACCGACTAGAGAAACCAAAGTACTGTAAAGACTAATTAGCGTGTCCATCTTGCCTTTATATCTATGCTTTAAAGCAAGAAAACTTTAAACATCATCTGTACACCACAATATTTAAGTTTTTGAGGCATCTAATGAAAATGTGAAACTCTTGAGACATAATAACAGCTTCACTTTCCATTTCTACCTGATCACAGAGCTTATATACCTCAACCTCATAAAAGTAGTGTCATAATAGGAAAAATATGCACAGTACAACAATAAAAATAATAACAAGAATAAATATAAACTTATTACAGGAATTGCAGCTCAAAGTGTTTTACAAGGGAAACAGCAAAAATCAATCACACAGTTGATGTGAAAACACGATACACAGGGAAAGAAATGGGAAAAACTGTTTTGACATATAAAACCAAGGATAAGAAATATCAAATAACAACAATGATGTAATAAAAAGGTGGAACAAACTCCATGGGCCATTTGACCCAAAGGTTCATACCTCATAATTTGTACAAAATGTGGTTTGTATGATCTTGGGTCGCTACTCAGTTGATGCATAAAATGCTGATTGTTTAAAGTGGGTGTGGCTAATTGCAACACAGTTCGCAGTGATATTCAATATCTTGAAGGTGTACATAATCTAACTCTCACCAGTGGTACTTGGATCCTGTGTTTTCTTATTATTGTTCTCTACTTAAAAAGTGTTTGTGCAGCAAAACCCCTAAAACTTGGAAAAACTAAATCAGCAGGTGGGTTGCATATTTCACCCACTACTCAGTCAGGCCCATAGAATAATGACAGATCATTGCCGCTTGCAGCTATATTTTTCATGACATTTAAATCACTCCATTTTCAACACTTCTTCATAAGTCATATAAAGTTCATGCATACAAAGTTTCAGCATAGTTAGCTGACAAGGAGGAGAGCAAGTAATGAGTACATTTTCACTTTGCAGTTAACTATTCCTTCACATGGAGCCTGTGCTGTTTTGCTTTTGTGTTATTGTGAACTTGAATAGGACCTTAACTCACTTGACACTTGATTTGTCCTCAGGTCTACCTTGTGAAATCCAAAGTGTGTCTGATGACAGGATTATGTGCAGGACTGCCATGCAGGAGATGAACAACAACATGACTGGCTACCCCGGTGAGAAACTCCTTCTTCTTCTTTTCAGAAGTTCAGTGGCCTTCATTGGCCTTGCGCAGATTCACTCTCTGTTACATATTCAAGTCCATCCTTTGTCTACTCCCCTCTTACCTTTTTGGGTATATCTCACCTAAAACTAGTAACTATTGTTTACACTCAAATTACACCCCTTTTACCGTCTGTCCTTTAGTCTCGCACTGAAATGGGCAAAGAGGCCTTTTTATTCTCTGCCCCTGCAACCTGGAACAACTTGCAGACAGTTTTGTAGCTAGATAGGCTGATTCCATTTTTTTAATAAAAGGTTTTGAAGGTTAATTCAGTTGTAACTTGTACTTGCTTCCTGAGCTGGATCCATCACCCTTGTCTTGTTTTCTTGTGTGTTTTGTTTTATGTGTTTTAACACCAGCTGGCATGCTGATCACTGGAATAATTTTAAGCATACTTGTCAACAACATTGTTGACAGGGACTATGCTGTGTAGTGAACTGTTAACCACAGACTGAAACAAGATCATCTGTTATCTGATTGTGACAAAATACATATTTTTAATCATACATCATACAAATACCGCTCATAAGACAGACGTCAACACTAGAGACAGACATCGGTTTGATGATAGATCATACAAAATACCTCTCATAGAACAGACGTCAACAGTAGATCGGTTTTTGATTTCTACAACCTTTTGCAAAAGGATTTTTTGTTATTAAACAAATGGAACTCTAACAGTCATCTTGGCTGCTTTATACAAAACAATCAGACCAATTGCTCAAATTTCTTGCTTTGTTGATTTTTTATTTTTTATTTTTTTTGTTGAAGTTCTTGTGAGTTTCTGTGATTCAAGGATATTTGAAGTACGCAGCACTCAAAACACCAATGTTTCATTATTAGAACATTTGGCCGATTGAAAATCATTTTTCAAATGCTTTATTTGAGTTTTGTTAGCAAAAGAAGCAAAAATGTACTTTAATCATGAATTTACCATACAGTCCCCCTTCAAAAGTATTAGAACGGTAAGGCAAATTCCTTTGTTTTCGTTGTTCACTGAAGACATTTGGGTTTAATATCAAAAGATGATTATGAGACAAGAGTTCAGAATTTCAGCTTTCATTTCCTGGTATTCACATCTAGTTGTGTTAAACAACTCAGGACATACCACCCTTTGTTTGAACCCACCCATTTTTCAAGTATTGGAACAAATAATCTTAAAGTAAATAACATTTGATATTTGGTGGCATAACCCTTGCTTGCAATAACTGCCTTAAACCTGCGACCCATCGACATCACCAAACTGTTGCATTCTTCATTTGTGATGCTATTCCAGGCTTTTACAGCAGCTTCTTTCAGTTCTTGTTTGTTTCGGGGCGTTTCTCCTTTCAGTCTCCTCTGAAGGAGGTGAAGTGCATGCTCTATTGTTAAGGTCAGGTGATTGACTTGGCAAAATGTTTCTGTACACTTCTGAATTCATTCTACTGCTACCATCATCATTTACATCATCAATAAATATTAATGAGCCTGTCCCAGAAGCAGCCATGCACGCCCAAGCCATGACATTACCTCCACCATGCTTCACAGATGAGCTTGTGTGCTTCGGATCATAAGCAGTTTCTTTCTTTCTCCACACTTTGGCCTTTCCATCACTTTGGTAGAGATTAATCTCATCAGTCCATAAGATTGTGTTGCAGAACTTTTACGGCTCATCTCTTTACTTCTTTGCAAATTTCAATCTCACACACCACTGTGAACTTTATACACGTGTGGGCTGGCCAGCACTGAAAAAATCGTAGACTCAGTCATTGGTATGTGTTTATTTATAAGGGTATTCTGCGTCTGCTCCCCTCATATTTGTGTGAATATATTCAACCAAAAGGGGCTGGACTGTATTCTTTACGCTCACAAGACTCACTGCTACTGTCTGTACCAAGTGTCCGCACAGAAGCTGGCAAGGTGGCATTTCACTTTTCTGCCCCCACAACATGGAACAATTTACAAAAATTCTGGAAATTAAAGGAACTGGTTTCAATAGGCCAATTTAAACTCTTGCTCAAAGGTTTGGAAATGAAATCTATGGTTTATAAATGTTTTTAAATAGTCTTATGAAATTGTTATGAAATTGTCTGAAATGTACTGAATTGTCGTGATCTGTGCCGCTGTCGTGGCCAGGACTCCCTTGAAAAAGAGATTAGTAATCTCAATGGGATTTTCCTGGTTAAATAAAGGTTTAAATAAAAATAAAAATAAAAAAAATCTGGCCTTCCGATTCTTACTGCTGATAAGTGGTTTGCATCTTGTGGTGTGGCCTCTATATTTCTGCTCTCCGAGTCTTCTTCCAACAGTGGATTGTGATACCTTCACCCCTGCACTGCGGAGGTCGCTGGTGATGTCACTTACTGATGTTTTGGGGGTTTTCTTCACAGCTCTCACGATATTTTTGTCATCAACTACTGTTGTTTTCCTTGGCCGACCTGTTGTTGCTCAGTACACCAGTAGTTTCTTTCTTTTTCAGGACATTCAGCACAAATTGTTGTGCTTGCTATGCCCGATGTTTGTCCAATGGCTCTGGTCGATTTTCCTTCTTGTCTCAGCTTGACAATGGCTTGCTTTTCTCCCATAGACAGCTCTCTGGTCTTCATGTTGGTTTATCCTCTTTAACAGGAAATGCAGTCTTTATAGGTTTGGTAATCAACCTAAAAGGCAACACCTGGGCAACATGAAACATCTGTCAGTCACATGTTCCAATAGTTTTGCTTACTTGAAAAATGGGAGGGTTCAAACAGACAGTGATATGTCCTAAGTTGTTAAACACATCCACATGTGAATACCAGGAAATGAAAGCTGAAATTCTGAACTCTTGTCTCATCTTTTGATCTTAAACCCAAATATCTTCAGTGAACCACAAAAACAAAGGAATTAACCTTACCGTTGCAATACTTCTGGAGGGAACATTAATTCACTGTTACTGTATACTGTGTAAGAGTACGTTAGACTTTATACCCATATGTTGACATATAATTTCTGATTAGAGATGCAACTGACAAATTTTAATATTCAATTAGCTACTCTGCTGATATTTTTTCAATTGATCGATTAATAGCTCTGTCTATAAAATGTCAGACAAGCACAACAGAGTATTCAGAGGTCTTATTTGCTGGGCAACCAACAGTCCAAAGAAATTCAATTTCTTATCATTTCCTGTGTGTCACATTGGTGGATGTGTCACAATGGAGACTTGAACTTGGGTCTCTCGCACCAAAGGCATGCATTTTATCCACTGCACCATCACCATCCGTATGTCGCCATTTAATTTTCTGGTAGTCCACTGACTTGTTAGTCAACTAATAGTTTCAGCTCTTATTTTTATACACCACCATTTATTTGCAAACCCAGGTGGAAGAGGCTTGAAGATGGAGGTGTGGGACAATACAAATCCAAGTTACCTGACTGACATTCGCAGTTACAAAACCAACACAAATGGATACTGGACTCAGTGGATCGACTCCATGCCTCAAGTCTTTGCTGCTGCAGTTTATTATTCCAGCTCACGATACAGAGGCTTCTTTGTCCCTCCAGCCAGCGCCAACTACACTATTTACCTTTACTGTGATTACCAATGTGATCTATACCTCAGCAACTCCAGCCGCCCAGAAGATATGGTATGAACAGACAGTGAAGTTCAGAATTAATCACACCCACTGTTATCGTCTGAGTGTACTAAACCAAAATAAAGCATGCAAAGTTTCACTTGAAATATTTAAAGATAACCTAAGAAACTTAGATGTTGTAGGCCTGTGTATTATTTTGTGGTAAAAACATTTTCAAAATCCTCATCTTTCTTGCTTTTAACATACTTTTTTCACAACCTCCACTTCAGGTTAAAGTTGCATCTAAAGTTCTGGCTCTAGAGAAGGGAAAACCGTAAGTACATGGCTCTTGTTAGCTCTTCAAAACAACAAATAAAAAATTAGTCATATCCTGTCATAGTGCACCTTGTTCATTATAGCTGTGTGTGTGTGAAGCTAGTTTCCTTTTAAAATAATTTAAAAATAATGTTTTTTTCTACAGATACTACTTGGAAATTCTGCATCAACACTATGGCGGTCAAGCTACTGTCAACCTTGCCTTGTTTCAAGAGGAGAGTCCCTTTACAGAAGACCAGACGGACGATGCTGTAAATGAGGTTCAAAATATCGTGGCTGAATATGATGTGTTCGATGAGGAACAAGTAAGCAGAGATGTGAACTTGTGAACTGAATTATAGTAATGTTAATTATGATAATAATGATGGTGTCTGCCTCCTGAACCCAAACTGGAACCTGGTTCCAAAGGAGAGGAGCTTTGTAGTTCCATTTTTGGGATGTAGAGATGTGTGTAGTCACAGTATGCAGCCACACTGGACTGCATTTTCTAAATGATTTTAAGCAAAGAATGTAGCTTTCTTTGGAGTATGTTTTCTTGCTGTTAGAATAAAATAATTTTTGCTAACACTAATGTTCTCTTCACCTTCTGTTTAACTCAGATCTGTTCTCCAGGGTTTGTCAAAAGTCATTTGAGAGAATGTAAATCACCAAGTGACGTAGAAGTCAATGTAGCGGGTTGAGGGAAGATGTTGGTTCAGTGCCCACCTCTTTTTTGCTTCTGTACCTCACCATTCCTTATTGTCACTGTTATCCAGGTGGTAACCTTTGAATCCTGGCCCAGTAATATCACCGGGGTCAAAGAGGTCCAGACTGTTACTGTCAGCAGCAGCTGTGCCAGCAATATTTGTGGGAGCACCTTCAGCCTGGGCTACGGAGACGCAACAACAGGTGATGTCTTTAACATTGGACATTTGTATGCATATGTATCTTGCACATTCATTTCCTAAAAGTGCATATAAGTTTAGCAGCCACAAAAGAAAATCTAAATCCCTAAACGTGACAGTGTCTCTAATCTAAAGGAGCATAGAAGCTCAGATGCATCTTTATTATCTTTCAAATTATTTGCTCTATTTGTATCTTGTACATATATGATCTTAATATGCCATGACTTCATGCATTTTAGCCACAAAAAAAAACTAAACCTCTTGATCTGATCTAATGTAACTACAGTTTATCATATACCAGCTTTGTCTTTTTCTTCTCTAGGACCGATCTCTGTTAGTGCCTCAGCAGATGAGGTGGGCGCAGCCTTGAACAACCTCTGGTCCATCAAACCTGACACAGTCCAGGTCACCAAACAGGGCGACAGTCAAGTGTCTCTCTACACAGTCACATTCAATTCTGACAGAGGTATGAGGAGACAGAAACATTGGGTTCTGTTGAGTTTGTGAAGAGTGTGGTTGTTACACTTCATTCACGTGCAAACTGACTTCAAAACCTAAAATGAAAGTCCTGTAGATTCAGCTGTAATATCTGTTCATTATATTTATTTTAGCAGCCAAGTGCAATCAATTAATTGATCATTTTTCTTTTTTTGACTGCAGGGGATTTCAAACCTCTGCACTATGAGGTTTTTGGCTCAGACACCAATGTTTCTGTTGCAGAGGTTACAAAGGGGAGAAGCAACATGAAGACTTTCACCCTGCTCTGGGGAGGAGTCCCAACAAAGCCCATCGCTTTCAATGCAAATGAGTCAGAGGTCTGTTGTGTAAAAAAAGAAAATTGCTGGAAGTCTCTCTTTCTCTCTCAGATTCAGAATCTACAAGCCTTTTTATTCTCGACTCAGTGTAATTGTGATGATATCTGAAAGGCTTAATTTGCAAATGTGTGACCCTGCAAACTTTACAGTTTCATAAACAAGTGTTGAGATCATGTTTAATTTCACTTAATTTCTTAAAGTTAGAGTTTAAAATTTATCTCGTTTTGGTCTGAAGAAATTGCCTGTGTGGCAGCCTGTGCTGTGTAGAAACAATACTAACATTCAGTCTGTGTGATTGTGAACAGGTGCAGTCGGCTGTGGAGGACATGATGAAAGCCGAGTGTCCCAGTGAGATCCTGACCACTGAAGGGACTGATGTGAAATACTTCAAGAACTTTGAAAATGACAACTCTCAGGTCAGTGGGGACAAAATTTTTGTATTTGTACAAATGTGATGACCACTTGTATGTTAAGTTCAAATACCAACAAATCCTTGGAGAGCAACAGATTTTTCTGATCTCTTTCTGATCTTCTTGCACTCACCAGTTCATAGGGACTCCAGTGAAAAACTCTGCTTTCTGTGGCCTGTGGTCGCTGAAGAATGCTGTGGTTCTTTTCAAGGACAGTTACACCAAAGAGACTGGTGGCTCCTACGGACCAGTTTCATTGGACAAGCATCCTACGGTAAAACCCACAGTTGCTTTATTAATTGTTGTTAAATTTGGCACAGAATGTACCTCTACTTTAAATGGATGAATGGATGCATCAAGAAAATAGTTTGCAAGTGTACAAAGACATGCTGGTTTGGACTTGTATGTCTTTGCTCCTAATGTCTATAAAAGGTTATGAAATGGTGACTTCCTCTTCATTTTTCATCATAAAATATTTTGAAACCTTTCCCATTTCTCTCCTTGCAGCTTTGCTTTGCACACAAGGGAATATTGAAGGATGAAGTAGGAATGAAATTCACTTACCTCAACAGCCAAGGCCTAACCATGACAGAGACCACAAAGATCAACACCCTGTTCAATAAGGGCCAAACGTCAGTTATTTTAATTTGTCATTACATGATGCAAACGTCTCAGCAAAACTGTAGCATATAAATGTGATTATTTCCTGGTAGATGGAGTTACAAATGCATGGACCTGCAGAGCTCCCTGCAGACAGAATACATTGGAAACAAATACAATCTGCTGGAGTTTTACCTCTATAAAGACGCCGCTGGTGCAGATTTCTATGTGGATGCCATATACATCGGAAAGAGCCCCACCACAATTGATGAAAATGGTACGCAACTGGATAATAGTTTTGATTTTAGAGAGCTGTTCTTTAATGTCAAAGCTAACTGTTGTTCAGAAGTGCAATCAGACTATATATAAATATTTTTTTCTATTGATGTGTAACAGTAGGAGTGTGCAGATGTTGCTCAGTACTACACAAATTCAGCGTTCAGTTTATTTTGGCCTGTGCATTATTTTCTCACAGCCATTCCCCTAATGAGGAGGCCTCCACCTTTTGAGAGCTCTGGTGATTCCTTTGAGTGGATCACTGTCAACAAGGACACATCATCTGCTGCACAGATCAGCTACAAGATCAAAGCCAGACCAGTAGAATGTGCATTTGGGTTCCCACTGCTAGGAGTTGGCTTTCTGCAGGTAAATAAATAATTAAAGTGACATTGATACTTATTTTTCACCTGCATATTCCATATTTGGGCAGCAGTGTAGACTGTAGGAAAACACTGTATGTCAAGTTTACTTTGTTATTCCGAGTAAGGAAACACAAATTTGGACAAAGGGTTGGAGCCTAGGGTGAAGTTGAAGTAAGAACTAGCTGTCAGTTATTCCGATAATCCCCAAAACATAAACCTCCTTCCTGACCTCAATATTTTCTAAATGGGACAGTATTTTTCAAAACACATGCATTAAAGAAAGTTTTTTAGCTGCTGAGATCCTCACTTATTGATGAAAACATTAAATGTTGAGTTATGAAAATGAGAGAAGAAGGGGCTTTCCCATTAACTTCAGTACAGTAGAGTCTGTTGGAGCAACAATGTGGAGTCAATCAGACTAGCGTTGCTTCAGTCATGTGACTCATAAAAACCAAGGAAATGTCATATATTTTATGGTACAGAGAGTTGCCACAGTGATCCTGAATGTGTCTCATGCTCTACATGCTGTCATCATTTGCCTACTGATAACAGTGGAAGCAGTGACCGGCAACTGAATAAGGACTGGCATGCACGAAGAAGTGTGACTGCAGGCTGTAGTGCCTTCTATAACATTTGATTCAATTAAATCTCACAGTTAATCTGACATTAATCCAGCATTACCTATTTATGTAATATTTGTAATCATTCTAAAACAACATGTTGCCTCTGCATTTGAAGTTTTGTATAGATTTGACTTTCCTATAAAAATTAAAGCTAAAATTGTACTGTAATATAATGTACTCAACAAAAGGTTTTTGTTTAATCTAAGCTGACTGGTTGAATGTTTATTTTTAGAGGGACACGTATATAGTAGGGACCAGTATGCCACATACACTAGCATAATATGTATAGCCTAAGCTAGAATGGGGTACATGAGCCTTAATACAAATACACAAAACACAATAAGAAAATACTTACCATTCAAAACACAAACAATGACAAAATTAAATTACCATACAAGTCAGTGACAAACACCAGATTATTCAAGACTACATGACTGTTCCCTCCTTAAAAGCAGATCCAACTTGGATTTAATATGATTCATGATTCAATACAGTATGGTGATGTGAAAACAGACAGCCTTTCTATCTTCTTCTGATCCTTTAAATGCTCCTCATGTATTTCCCAGATGTCCAACAACAGCGAGGACACAGCTGAGTTTAGGGAGGGAGCAGCCACCGTCACCATCATTCGCCCTCACAGAGCCACCCCTCCTCTGAATGGCACCTTTAACGTGGAGATTTATGGAAGTCGAGCTGAGGGTAGGTCAGAAGAGGGTGTTGTGTTTGCATTGTATCAACTCTAACTGTCCTGGCTGCATACATGTTGTTTCCAGTGCTTGAGGGCCGGAACGCAGTACCTGCACCTCAACATTTTACTCTTTGCCGTAACGGGACATTTTCTTGCGTACCAGGACTTCTCCCAAGTTGCCGGTACTCTCCTCTGCCCTCTCCATACCAGATACTCTGGGCGCTACGTGACGCTTTCCTGTTCCTGTTCTCTCTGCCTGCTAAACTCTGTCGACGAGGGAGAAGAGAAGCTCGGGTGCCTCTCAAGCAGCCGTGTGCTGAATGTAGCTTGTCAATATCACTTGTTGTGAACCAACCAGCCTGGATGTGGCAGGACATTTAAAAATATAGACAGATAGGTGTCATTTACACTGGGGACGCTGGGGACAGGTCAGAATCTGAATGTCTCCATCACTTTTTGAAAGCTTTTGTTAAAAATGTTCTGAAAAATAGCTTGTAACAAGAAATGTTGAATAATTTAAATTTTTTACCACTTCAAGCACTGGTTGTTCCTAAAAGGTTAAAGCCCTTTTTTCCCAAGAAGAACCACTGACTTAGTAAATGCTATGCACAAGATGTTTGTCCAATTTCCAAGGTGGTTTCTGAAGCTTCTTGTACCACAGAAGTGCTCAGGCCCTAATAAATAACAACAATGGGAGCGGAATCAGGGATGACAAAATTGCTATGGAGAGGCAGAACGCTCAATGTGTTTGGTTGTATTTGGGTAATGGGTTGACAGGATAGAAGCTGTTTCTCAGTCTGGATGTGCGTGTCTGTCTATAGTCTAAAACCTCCTAATGAATGGTAGGGGTCAAACAGGTGTAGACTTGGGTTTGTGGGGTCACTAATGCTGTGAGCTCCACTCCAGCATCTCTTGTAGATGTCCTTTTGGGGCGGCTGTGGCTCAGGAGGTAGAGCGGGTTGGCCGTTAACGGGTAGGTCGGCGGTTCAATCCCTGGCTCCTGCGTGTAGAAGTGTCCTTGGGCAAGATACTGAACCTCAAATTGCCCCTGGTGGCTATTCCACCAGTGTATGAATGAGTGTGAATGTTAGTTTCCGTTTGAGCACTTAGGCTCAGTGTATGAATGAGTGTGAATGTTAGTTTCCGTTTGAGCACTTAGGCTCAGTGTATGAATGTGTGTGACTGGTGAATGCAGATGTAGTGTAAAAGCGCTTTGAGTGGTCGAAAAGACTAGAAAGGCGCTATACAAGTACGGAGCATTTACTTTATGTGAAACCATTTAAAGGAAAGGTATCCCATCATGGCTATTAAATAGATCCATTATGTTCTGTTTTTACAAATAAAGTAAATATAGCTTGCGTCATTCTTTTACCAGTCTATAAGTTATTTTGAATGTTGCATAAATTAATGCTAATGATCTCCTGCTCCCAATGAAAGAATATTCCCCTATTTAGAGTTTGTCTTTATGATATTAGCATACTGACATCTTGTTTTACCAGATTCTCTGCAAAGAGCCAGAAATATCATCCCGTATGTCTCCATGTAGCACTATACATGTTACGTACAGTATATATAACAGTCGCTTTTGCAGGGAGGTGTCTAACACAACCAGTGCTTGTTCTCAGGTCTGTCGGTGGACATTAGCGCGGCAGACCTGAAGTATGCTCTGGAGGGAATCTCAGGGATGGGTGAGGTCAGCGTGACAAAGCAGGGAAGCTGCAGACGCCCCGAATGGACGGTTAAGTGGCTCACAAAACCTGGAGACCAGCCTCTGCTCAAGGTCAGATGCCACTTCTTATTTAATAGATTTGTTTTAGGTAATAGTGGTGAATTGCCCCAAAACAATTCTTTGTATCAATTATCAAGAGTTTATTAGCAGCAGTCATGATGGTAATAATATGACATAAAAAAATTAATCAGATATCTGTGTTTACATATAAATATACTACTGTATGTTCTCAACACTTTCTATATAAATTTATACTAACAACACGAGACACTAGGACGATCTTCAACTTCCTCTCCAGGTGTGGCCATTGTTTCCTTGATTTCTTTGAAATAATTTTTAAAAAATGACAACAATAGACATTGTCAAATTGAATTATCAATTTGACATTGTCTATTGTTGTCAGCTGTCTGGCGCTGCATAGCTCTGTTTATTTTTTGTGTCTGTAATTTCACCTTATTCAATTTAGATTTAAATATAGTTTGCTTGACCAGTTCATGTTTTTTAAATTACTGTTTTTCTTCTTAATTTTGGGTCACTTCATTTGTCTGTTTTTATGATGTTTGTGCAAGTCAACAATAAAATTAAACCATTAGTAACAGCAGTACTACTGTGGCTACAGCAGCAGCCGTAAGATGACTAGTAGTAATACAGTTAACTATGGTGTTAATGCCAGTTTTAATGACTTCTGTTCCAACCATTGAAGTTTCTACAGGCATATAGAAACCAGAAGCTTGAATCCTGATTATGATTTATTCTCATTACAGGTTACCAACTTGTCAGTTGTTGGTGAAAATGCAGTTGTTTCAGCCAGGGAGATTACAAAGGGAGGGCTGTTGATGCGAAGCCTGACAGGGGATTTTTTCCGTGTTTGGGAAACCAAACCACAGGTACAATTGTCTGGTATTGGTTTTCACCATAATTTGTCTGTCAAATGTCTGCTTTGGTCACTTCTGATTACTTTGTATGTTTGCTTACTATAAATCCTGTAGAGCAAGTCCTATTTGTGTTTGTAGCTTTGCATAAAGGAGCTGTATTCGTGCCTCCAGGCAGGATGTGATTCTTATGTTTGCATGTTATTAAATAACTGCTTTGCATTGAAGTGAAAGACAACTACAGCCCTCTATAATGCCGTTGCTATGACTGTTGTAGCTAGAGCTTCGTTTTGGTGATTAGTCCAACCCAGTCATTTTTATTCTGTGAAACCTAACCTAAACTTGACATTAGTTGTTTTGTGATGCTGTTTGCAGGTGGAGGTTTACATCAATGGCATCCCTTCAAAATGTTCTGGTGACTGTGGGTTTGAATGGTCTGCGGACATGACTCCAGTTGTGACTGGAATCAGCCCATCTCAAGGTGTCGTTGATTTTTAAGGAGTAATATACTGTATATAACCAACCTGTCTGAACTGAATCACTGACAAAAGATTTAATGGATTGCCAGCTCTTTTAGAAAAACGTATTATTACTTCAGGTTTATTGTACATATGCTAGATGCCGGTAGTTATGGTGATAAATGATCTATCTATAATTTAATATCTGACATTTTAAGGATCTAACGGTCTGGGGACTCTTTTGACTGTGACTGGGACTGGCTTCAGTGGTGAAAATGCCTCCATTATTGTGGGAAATGCGAGCTGTCTTGTTGAGCAGATCACAGGTTAGTGAAATAAGTGAATACGATATTTAGTTTTTCATTGAGTGGAAGGAGATTAACCAGATTTTGTACTTCAGCTACCACTCAGGTGTGCAGGCTGGGTAGCAACAGTGCTGGTACCTACCCTGTGTTGGTCAGCTTCCCATCTCTGGGTAATACACGCTACGCAGGCGACAGTATGCTCAACTTCACCTACCAGCTCATTGTTTCCTCTTTCACACCGCTCTCTGGAAGTGTGGCAGGTGAGACATACTCAAAAAAATCAGCTGCTCTGAACTAAGAACCCCAGTCTGTGTTGTTATTTCTCTCAAAATCAAAAGCACAAATACTGTCCAGTGATTTGGTGCAATGGGAACCTTAAAACACACAGGCCTCCAGTTGGGGCAAATTGTGAGTCTCATTCATTTTATCAGAAAATATAACCATTTTCTTGTTTTATTTTTTCTTAGGAGGCACACTGCTGACAGTGAGAGGCTTCGGCTTCAACCAGAATACCACAGTGACTGTCGGCAGTGAGGAGTGCACAGTGGTTCTTGCCAGTGACACTGAGCTGAAATGCAGAACGCCAGCAGTAAGTGTGCAGACTGCAGACTACTGGATATGGATGTTGTTTTTTATGTCGTTTCAGATAACAGTGGTGCCGGTGTCGGATTTTGTCTGAAAGGGCCTTTGCTTGGTCTGGTATGGCAGACAGCATTGGTGATTAATGTTAGCAAAGATGAGGTGTTTCTGCATAAATGACATTACTGAGTCAGTTCGCTGATTTTACGACTTTATTTGTACTTTTAACACAACATTTTACATACCATGTACCACCACTCGTGGCCACAGCAACAACTTGTACGTTGGCTCACTTTAAAGCATTTTTAACATCAAAATTTGTGAGTTACAAATATAATAAACAGTGTATTGTTTTAGCAGTTTTGTTGATATATCAAAAATTCATGGTAGCCTAAGCAGTTAGTGCCCTTTATTACACTAAGTTAAACCAGGAAAACCCATTATTTCCAATGTCTTGCACTACGTTACGACGGCTTTTAGTTGCGTCAAGCAACTGGCAAAGTGCTTGATGCTGCTGTGCCACAGTTCAAGCCCAGTGCCACTGTGTCGGAAAGGGCCTTAAAACGTTTTGATTTTTCATTGTTGTACGAAATGTAACAAATCATTTGACATCACAGACTAATAGTTTTTGCCCCTTTTTCCTGGCACTAGTCACTTGTTTGACATATTTGTCTGATTTGTTAATAAATAAATACTTGTATTACTTAATTCAGGGAATTGCAGGACCACAGACCGTCACACTGATGGTGGGAAACATGAGTCAAACAGCCAACGGCTCCTTCACCTATGACATTAACCTTACACCACAGATCTCAGGCCTGAGTCCCCTCACTACCACTGTGATTGGTGAGTTGAGAGTAAAATTGGGTTCATTGCATTTGGAACATTATAAAACATTACTGAGAAGGGAATTCTGGAAGAGTGCTTGGATTATGTTCTTTGGTATGGATAAATGAAAGATTTAATGGGGAAAATGGGTTTTGTTCTTAAAGGTCAATGGAAATCTTAACTGTCCAATGACACACACAGACACAATTTATATCGTATGCTTGTCCGTTATTTATGAAAAGAAATTTATTCAATAATCACTTATTGTGTTTCAATACCACACCATCATTTGAAAATATAGCATGTTTTGTGTTTTTGTTTACAGTAAGCTAACATTTCCTATGTTAAAAAAGTTGATAAACTGATAAACTTTTTTGCAGGACATCAAGTTCTCACCATTCAGGGTACAAACCTGGGAGGCCAAGACAATGACAGCATCGTGTCCATAGGCAAAAAGGAATGTGTCACCATTCAGTGGACAACAACGAGCATCACATGTCTGCTGCCTGTACTGCCACCTGGCCTGTACAAGGTGGATGTACATGTTGGAAACAGTGGCTACCCCCAGACAAGGTACAGTGACTGTGAAAGTTTACTTTAGAAATACTCTCACGGGCAACAATCCATCTGTCACATACCAACTGAAAGAGTGTTGATAGTGACGCCAGCTGTCAGAAGTGTTTATTTTTTCTTACATGTCAAAAAGGTGTCGTGTGAACTTTTGAATTTCTGAAGATAAGGAAAGATCTTAAGGACTGTTATTAATACTTTCACATTATACTGTACAAAATGTCCCCAGATATTTTCTGTTTTTAGATATTAAAAATATACAAGCAGTAAACACAGTGATTTATATAGTGAATACAGAATGTAAATCAAGCAATTAAAATCTAAATAAATAAAACTAAAAAGAGGAAAAACAATGGCTCCATTCACACGAAAAAGGATAAAAGGGTATTTAGGCTACATAAGATGTTTAAATTTCTCTTTTGTATGTATATATTCAGTCAACTAAAACAACACATGCAAATAAATTCACTAAGTTAGTTATTATCAGTTTACTCACAAGCCAGATAATCCGGTTCATTTGGGACTCACTTGGACTCTTTTCTATTGTCTCATTTCATAGCAACGGTGTGAATGTCAGCATTGAATACATCCTGGAAATCCACAGCATCTCCCCACTGTTTGGCTCCTTAATGGGAGGAACCAGGCTGACCGTTTCTGGATCTGGTTTCAGCAACAACACCTCTGACAACAGAGTCTCCATTGGTAAGAAACTTGAAAGCAAGTAGATTCATTATCCCAGGATTAATCTCTGCCAAAAATCTACTCATAATTTTCAGCAAACAAGTATATTTTATTAGTGGACTTGGACATCAAAATAATGGTTGGGGAAAAAACTAAAGGAACTAACTGGTGGTGATCTACTGTGATGTCACTACCTGCAAATATAAAAAAAAGCAATTCTGTAATGTTACTGCACCAGCTTTTGTACCTTATCTCATGCATGTTTTGTGTTGGTTTGTGGTGTAACAGGAGGAACTGAGTGTGAAGTAAAGGCCGCCTCAGAGAATGAGCTGCAATGTGTTGTGCAGTCAGAGGAGAAGACCCACATCGTCACTAACCAGGGATCCCACCGCAGTAGGTTTACGTTTCAAATCCTTTTTGCAGGTGTCAAACTAAATCTGAGCAGGCTAAAATAGAGCACAACAGAAAGAGGATTAATTTACTTTAAACTGCCTCTAGCAAGGAAGCTGTCACCTGTAGATTACATATGACTGTACAGATAAAGTGTTAAATGATTTTCATGCAGAATGCAAATGGAAAATTAATGTCTGAAACTAATATTGCTTCACCCTATACATGCTACACACCTCTGGGAAGCTAGGAGGCTCAGCTAGAAGCTCAAACCAACCATTTTTATTCACACCAAATACACATCCAACACCAAGCATCTAAATAAGCTTATATCACAACATAAATTACTCTGAAATCACTGTACATGGCTGAAGTTATAAACATCCAGTTATGTCTAATCACAACATATCCTCATGTCCAACCTCTCAAACCAAAGCTAATCTCCCCCTGAGATCAGCTGTATAGCTCACAATCACTCAAATCACCAAAATTACAAACTAATTAGCTGGTTAAAAGTAACATCAAACAAGCCAATATACATATAGAATCACAACCGCTGACTTACTTTTGAAGTTTCCGCCGTTTCCATTCCAAAAGTTAGCGTAATTGTTACAAAAAATATCCCGGCTGCCATTTTGGATATTGCGCAATATCTGGAAGCTGTGTGCCTGCCTTCTCTCATCTTTTTCTGCAGAGAGGCGAAGTCTTGCTTTTACACACCCGGTGATTTTTGCGGTTTAGTAGGCGACTCGTAGGAGCTACATAGACACCCCGTCCCTATGGGATGTTCCTTTCTCAAACTAAAAGCCTACATTTGAACACTAAATATTGTCAAAATATAGACATTCACCTGGTATATTTTTAAAATATTGTATGATAACTGTTTTAGTCCCTGTTTTAGTATCTTTTCATCACATTTATAGTTACAGTCCCCAACAGGTTTAACACAAGTCTTGTCAGATAAGGTTTAACCAGAACCCAGAAGCAGACAGAGACGTGAGGCCTTTTCACAGACTTTATTGAGAGGCAGGCAAGACAAGGTGGGAGCGAGTGATTGAGCTTGGTGGCAGGCTCAACGATAGGCAGGGACGGCAGGCAGTGTGTGCTCCTCCAGAAAAAACAGGCAGGTATGGGCATAAGGGAAGGCGTCCTCTCCAGACTAAGAAAACCAAAGACAAAGTTAATCACGAGGCATAATAGAGAACAATGGTCGCAACAAGGCTGGGTGCCAGCAAAAGACCTACTCTATACAACATAACAATCCAGCGAAGGCTGAGGAGAACTGCAGGGCTTATGAAGTAGCACAGAACGACATGATATGGATCAGGTGTGCTAATCAGTCTGCCAGACAGGTGAATGAGCCAGCCCCATGCTTCCCCACCAGTCACGCCTCCTGTCAAACTGCAAAGGTAGAGAGAGAGGCCGAGCAACAGAAAAACCAAAACACACCAGCCAGCCTCACACACTCAGAAACAGAAAGTAACAAAACACAGACAACCACACACAGACCCTCCCAGCATAGTCATCGTTGAGACCTCGTGACAAGTCTGACCTCAAATAGGATTGGCAGTATTTAAATTACATGTTGCTTAACCTCATACAATGAACCCCTTTGTGTGTTAATCTGCTTATGTGTGTAGCCTACTGTTTGTACTGTATGTATACATTTCAGTCTATATTTACATTTGTCTGTGTGTTCCAGTTTACGGACAGGGGTATGCATGGAGTCCTGCCTCTCTGACCGTGTTTGTTGGAGACACAGTAATGTGGCGCTGGGAGGCACCAGCCTTCCAGAGAGTCGGGTACCGGGTCTTCAGTGTTTCCAGCCCAAGTGGCACCACCTACGAAGGGGGACCATTCAACAGTGGAGAGACCAAGACAGGAAAAGGTAGGATAAATATAATACAATATAATCCTAAAAAGCTAAAACTTTATTGCATTGCATTATGGGGCATGATCACTGTGTTCTTAGTGGTAAAAAATTTATACCTTTTCCTCTTTGCTTGGAATTTCCCTTTCTGTGTCTGCAATGCTATGAGGAATAAGATATGTGACATATGAGGAAATGTGATGAGTGGCATGTTCAACATGCATGAGAGACAAATGCATGCCATGTCCAGGAATGCTTCATGGATAGATCTCACGTTAGAAACTCTGTCTCTCTCCCCTAAGGCTTTTCTGGCAACCGTTTTACTGGACCCGCTGTGTATTACTATACATATACTGTATATATATTTATATTTATATATATATACACAGACACACACACACATATACACACTATTTGTGCCAAATTACATGAACATGAAGGTTAATGATCCATCTGTCCATCGTCAAACTCTTATCCTGCGTACATGGTCGCGGGGGGCTGGAGCCAATCCCAGCTGACATTGGGGCGAAAGGCGGGTACACCCTGTACAGGTCGCCAGTCCCATTCTTAATCCGTAGGTTTTAATATGGAGTTGACCTTTGCCTCTATAACAACTTCAGCTCTTCTGGGAAGGCTTTCCACAAGGTTTAGGACTGTGTTCATGGTCATTTTTGAACATTCTTCTAAAAGCGTATTTGTGAAGTCAGGCACAGATGTTGGACGAGAAGTCCTGGCTCGCAGTCTCTGCTCTAATTCATCCCAAAGGTGTTCTATCGGGTTGGGGTAAGGACTCTGTGCAGGCCAGTCAAGTTTTTGTACACTAAACTCGCTCATACATGTCTTTATGGATAGTTCTTTGTGCACTGGTGCGCAGTCAAGTTGGAACAGGAAGTGTTTCCACAAAGTTGGGAGCTTAAAATTGGACAAAAACCCATTGCATGAAGCACTCTATGCACTGTTCTTGAGCTAATCCAAAGACCACATGACGTTTGGAGGTCTTCAGCGCACTGTGCGCCTCAGCATGCGCTGACTTCGCTCTGTGATTTTATGTGGCCTACCACTTCATGGCTGATTTTCTGTTGTTCACAATCCCCAGGGCTGGGCTGGTAAATTGGCATACCGAGCAAATGCCCGGTGGGCCGACACACCTTTGGGACCGGTGTAATGTAAATTATGTATTTATATAACTGTTTTTAAAAAATGTGCCAATGACCAGTCCATAAAGCATGGACAGTGACATACTGACATGTACCCACCACTTTTTGAGAGCATTTGTTAAAAATGTTCTGAAAAATGACCTGCAACAAGAAATGTTAATTAACAAATAAAAATACCATGAAAAAGGTTTATTTGCACAATAAGCCTGCAATGCAATTGTCCAAATAAAGCTTACTTAACTTAACTTAAGCTAAAAAAAATAATAAACTACTGACTACTGCATTGTCACCTGCCACCTGAATTTTGCGCTTCCCAGGTTCAGAAAATGTCTCCAGAATGCAGGAACTTAAGTGTTTAATGCTTAAAATGCTTAATGCCTAAAACTATAAAATAAAACTAAAATCTAAATACTAAGCCTATTAAAATATATTCTTGTTTTGTTGACATGGTCCCAATCTTGTGCCATGTCACGTCTCATGGGCTAATTGTTTCGTCGCACCCCTAATCTGAGCCCTTAAATGGAAGGATATGTGTAAGGGGTGTCCGACCGATTTTGGTGGGCCACCTGGGGTAATTTTTTTTGTCTCAGTCCAGCCATACCAATCCCTTCCACTTTGTTATATTAACTCTAACAGTTAACCGTGGAATATTTAGTAGTGATGAAATTTCACGAATGGATTTATTGCACAGGTGGCAACCTATCACGGTACCACACTTGAATTCACTGAGCTCTTGAGAGCGACCCATTCTTTCAAAAATGTTTATAGAAGCAGTCTGCATGCCTAGGTGCTTGATTTTATACACCTGTGGACAAGAAAGTGATTAGAACACCAGAATTCAAGGATTATGAGGGGTGTCCTAATACTTTTGACAGTATAGTGTAGTATAGAATAGTAGATCGATAGATACACACACACACACACACAAAAAACCCTACATTGTTTTACTGAGAGAGAAAAATATAACTGGTTATAAACCCAAAAAAACGAATAATTTAGTGCATTGCATTATGGTCCGTGATCATCCTTTTCTCAGTGGTTAAAATTGCTAACTGCTTTGCCATTTCACTTAGAATTACCCTTTCATTGTCTGTGATGTTACGATAAACAAGATGTGTGACACATGAGGAAGTATGATGAGAGCCATGAATGCTTCACAAGTTGATCTCACATTACAAACTGTGTCTCACTCTCTCCCCCCTCAGGCTTTTTTGGCTACCGTTTCACTGCACCCGGTGCATATTACTACAGCAGTGGCTACGTAGATGTTGGCAATGTCAGGCTTCTGCAGGGAGTTGTGAAAGTCGAGCCACGGGAAGAGAAGAGCAGCAAGGTCTCAGTCAGATTGGGAGGCATGGAGGCCAGACAAGTGACTGGAGGTAAATGCATAAATGTGGACAAGAAGCACTCAGTATAAAGTTTGACCCTCCAGGAAATCTGAATACAAAAACTAAGGAGTTCCTTTGGGATCTTTCAACAACAATGTGTAATCATTTATATTATTTGAAATATTTAAGTGAAAAGTCAGGTCATGTGAATAAAGTTTGTTATATATTTAACATGTAATCCAATTGATTTCCAAGTCAAAAGAAAAACATTTATAAGTTTGGTAATTTTGCTAAGTAATTAATGGATTAAACTGTGTCCCCATTCAGGTTCACATAATTTCTCCAGACCAGCCCCACAATGCATCGCCTCTCCACAGTGCCAAGAGACCAATGAAACTTCAGACGACCTTTCCTTCAGCTCCTCCGCCTGCTCCACTCCCACAGTCCACTCCATTTCTCCCAATCAGGGATCATACCACGAGCTAATCCATATTCAGGGCAATGGCTTCAGCAACACCCTCTGCGCTAATGAGGTTAGCAGCGTTTCTGTGACTAAGTTTTAAATTGATTTAAATTTAAAATGTATTAAAGTGAAAATTTCTTAGGACAGTAACAGAGACAGCTATCTATTCAGGTACAGTCTTCTATTTGTTTGGTAATTAATTAAATACTACTAATACAAGCGGCTGTTATAAGTTAATATCAAGTCAGGTAAACTCAGTTCAATTTATTTATAAGGCATATTTAACAACAAAAACAACAACAAAAACCAGACCAATCAGGAAAATACAACAATAATAAAACAACAGAAATATAAAGTAACCAGGACAGATAAGCATGAATGCCCCTAAACTATCTCGAACTCCATAGAATAAAAATAAATTTTAAGACAAGACTTGAAAGTCTCATTAGTTAGAGATGATCAACTGAAAGTGGGAAGTTTATTCCACAGTCTTGGAGCCACAACCGAAACGGCACGATCACCCTTTGTTTTAAAACAAGCCAATGGAATTGCTAAAAGCCACTGATCTAAGGGACCTGGAAGTGATACAGTGTGAGGAAGTCTAAAATATACAGCACCTTAAAATTTACCTTAAATTTTACGGTATATCTACTGCATACTATTATGCCACTAACCCTTCACTGCCATGTGGTGCACATTTAGTAGTGTTCATGGACGTCATTAGGCCTAATTTAGGGGGGCTGGTCGTATGCCCCCCTAAATAATAATAAGAAATAATTATTGGATTTAGATTTTTTTTTACAGTGCAGACATATACTTAACAAAGAGAAGCAAGAATATTGATAAATACTATAGAATAATACAAATATCATTTGTATTTATTGGCTTAAAATGATCGTTCTGATTGTTTCCTCTGCTTCACAAATTAAATCTCTGCTGTGGTCGGGCACTAGGACCCTGAGGGAGGCTGCTCTGCAGAGCTGTGGACCCTACACGCGTACCCCCTCTGATGCGTACCCCCTCTGATGACAAATTTTTCGTCACGCGGACAATCGCGGACGCAGAAAGTATAATCCTTGACTTAATGAGAGTTGGCTGGGATGAGGTCCTTCCAAGTAAATTAATACTGTAATAAATTAATGTCCAGCATTAGTGGTATTGATAATAAGTTCAACGCAAGCCACAGAGAAAAATACAGCTACCGTGGCTAAGTGACACTGTACATCAACTAATGAAGAAAAGAGATACTTTACTTTAAAGACCTTCCTCAAAACCTGAAATGAGTCTGATTTGCAATTATTCAAGGGGCTGAGAAACCGGATAGTTAAGGAGCTGGGCATCTCAAAAGCAAATGTATTATATTCAAGTTTCATCAGGTAATATAATTTGGAAACAATTAAATAGTCTAGTAAAACCAAAAATAAATGTCACCCAAACTTAAAGTTGAGTTGTTAATAAATTTAATGATTTTTTTTTTATTCAGTCCCTTATAGATCTTTCCATAAGCTTCCGCCACATTAACACTAAAACGAATGTCATGGCTCCTAATGAAGATGATAACTCATTCAACTCGTGTAAACACTACTTAGATACTGTATTCCTTAAAAAAATATAGCAGCATTCTGGCTATAAAACATAAAACAGTCACTTTACACATGTAACGTGGTAGGTGCAGTGTCCGGATTTGAAAAAGGTATTTGATACAGTAAACCACAACATTTTAATTTCAAAACTCAATGTTAAACTTGTCAAAACGGTCATTATCTTGGTTTGACTCATATTTAAAGGGCCAGGAACAGTGTGTTGTAATTAATAACATCAAGTCAGCTTTCAGCAAAATCAAAACAGGAATCCCCCAAGGAACTATGTTGGGTCCCTTCCTTTGTAGTTTGTACTGTACATCAACGACTTGCCAGAAACTTGTCCTGATATAGGTTTTCAGATGTACGCTGCCGATACAGTCGTCCATGTATCTAGCAAAACCTGTGATGATGTTGCAGACAAGCTAACCAAAAACCTAGAAAAAGTGTCAGCTTGGCTTGACGCCTCCTGTTTGACACTAAACACCAAGAAAACAAAGTCTGTTTTTCTATTAAAAACGCTCTCTGAAAACTGAATCCTTAAATGTTAAAATTAAAGGTGAGGTTATTGAACAAGTACCAGAAGTGAGGTATCGGGGAATAATTTTTAAGTAAAATTTTAAAAGTCACACTAAAAAGATTTTTAAAACGATTAAGGCTATCCTTACCTGTACTTGTACTCACGTCTAGTCTACTGTAGTTAGTGTTGTGTGTTTTTCATTTCATTTTGATTCACTAATTTTACCTCCTTTTATCTTATTTATAGTTATACTGTAAAGTATACTTTTCTTATTTTCTTTTTTCATCCCCGTTTTAATGTTTTATTTCTTTAAAAGCCCTTCTAGGGAAATGTGTTCTTGGGATATGTGTTGGAAATTAAACTGCTAAAAACACTATGGTACACACATTGGATTGCTGTTTTCAGTTTATCTATGTTAGATGTATCCCTAATAATAAAATAAACCATAAATAAATAAAACCTAACTTTACAGTAACTTTTCTTCAATAGTTCTAATACAGTAACAAAAGATGCGAGTGCAAAGATTTTGCTAGCGCAAGTTACACATACCGTGGGGGCTAAGCCCCCCCTGCCTTTCAATCCTGGTGACGTTCTTGGTAGTGTTGTTGTTTAATGTAACAAAACTATAATAATTTAGCCTTGATTAAAAAGAAATTTATAAAGTTGATCCCATCTCTCAAGCCTGTACAGTAACTGTAAACCCACTTAAACTCCCATTGTCCCAATTTGGGTTTTTATTTAGTATTTATTTCCTTACTTTTTTTGCGCAAATATTTTACTTTTATCAGTAACTTTGCCAGTAGTCTGCATCTTGATTAAAAAGTAAAAATTTAGCTTTTAAAACTAAGAAACCTATTTGGATGGTATGATTTGCAATAATAATTAATTTATTTGACAAACTTGCAGGATTATTAGACTGATGATTTTATCGTTCAGCAGAAAGTAGGGAAAACAATAAAATAGCACAACTCTCTCTAGACCTTTACAGCAATATACACATTCGGTTATTAAAACACTATTTGAGATTGACCCAAAGAAGCACACTTTTTCTACACATATACTTGTGCAAACATTGTATTGCTGTTGTTTACAACAATCTTTATATTTACAGCTGATAACAAATTATTTTATATATTACCAGTCAGTGTTTCTGGATTGCAGACCAAAAAAATATCTGTATCCAAAACATAACTGTGTTAACCTTGAATTCAGCCAGCTGAAAAAATAAAGTGAATGCTTGTAAAGAGCTTGATGTGACTGTCAGTGGTGTCTCTTTGTCCTGTAGGTGACAGTGGGAGATCAGCCCTGTCAGGTGATCAACAGCTCTAACTCTGAGATCAACTGCCATCTCAGCTACAACAGTGAACTTCCTATCGGTGTCGCTCTCCCCGTGGCTGTCAGAGTCAACAACCTTGGCAACGCCATCATCACTGTACCAGACGAGCTCAGCCGCCGTTTTGTGGTTCTGCCTGTGGTCGATTCAGTCTCACCACCTCTCGGCAGCCCCACCGGCCACACGCAGCTCCTCATCCAAGGCTCTGGCTTCACTGAAGGACAGGTCACTGTAGCCAGTGTGCCGTGCACTGTTGTGTCAGTAAATTACACCAGTATCATCTGTGACACCAATCCTTCTCTGCCACACACCGGAGATGTCGTCTTCCACATGGGCAGGATCCAAAGCTCCTGTCATTCAGACTGCTCCTTCATGTACTCTTCCTCTGTCACTCCCGTAGTCACTGGTATTTCACCCAACAACATCAGCAATCTAACCACTGTCACCATCTTTGGCTCAGGGTTTGGCAGCAACGTGGATGACATAGCAGTGTTTGCCAGCACCACAGAGCTGGAAGTCACCGCCGTGACTGATGGCAACATTTCTGTGAGAGTTAACGCTCTGCCTGCAGGCGTCCACTCTGTCAAAGTGATTGTGAGAAGTAAAGGCCTTGCATCCGGTTCTGTCACCCTGACCAGTCTCGCCCAAGCTGACCTCAACCCCAATGTGGGCAGCCTGGCAGGAGGAACCTCTCTCATCTTCACTGGAAACGGCTTTGCTCCAGGGAACACCAAGGTGATGGTCGATGGCCAACCCTGCAAGATTCAGGAGGAGATGCCGCGTCGGCTTAGCTGCCTGACTCCTCCTCACAGAGAGGGGCTGGTAACCGTCACCATCCAGGTCTTTTCGTTGCAGTATCCTCCTCTCTACTTCACCTACTCTGCAGCCAACACTCCGGTCATCAGCTCCATCAGCCCCACTACTGGTAATTATGGTCCTCTACTACATCCTGTAGACAGAATAACACTAGTTATTATCAAGCAGCAGCTTGAGTACTAGGGGTGGGGGAAAAAATCAGTATCGCATAGTATTGCGATATTTTCCGTGGCAATATTGAAACACGGAGGACAAGTATCAATCTTTTATTATATAAATTGTACATGAGAATTTTACTTTTTGGTGCTATAGTAATACAATCAGTTGCTTTTTCAGTCCAATAGAAAAATAATTTTCCTTTGGGGACACAATTTGAAGTTGGGAAAAAAGTTGCAATATATCACAATATTTTTAAAATCCCAATAATATCGTATCGTGATAATATCGTATTGTGGGACCTCTGGTGATTCCCACCCCTATTGAGTAGTGATCTGGAGAAGAGTTTGTTGCCTTATTTGGGGGTCATTTCGAAGTGCATACAGAACAGAGCAGCAATATAGAAATACAAAATGTATCAATCTGTGAAGGGCCAGGGGTGGCCAAACTATAGTCTGCAGTGAATTTTAAAAAATAAATTACAATATAACTTATTTATAATAAATTGCTTTGTATGTACAGATCACCTTTTAGTTTGAACACAAGAGGTGCTGCCATTTTGAACAACTTCTTGACCTACAATGATAAAATACTAGTTGATGAAAACATTTACCTCAGTTGATAAAACATGACAGAACCGAAAAGACTGAAGATAGTGAGTTAAATCTGAAAACTTCTGAACTTGGCCCGTGACATTTTATATTTAATATATACCCAAATGTTATTCTCATCTTTGTGCACAAAGAGGGTGATGCTTTTTTTTGTTTCTTTTTTTTGGATGGATGATGCAACTTTAAAGCTCAGTAAAAATAGTAAACCAACCATTTAATTAACGTGATTTTTAGTTGACAACACTCACGTCAGTGGATCTGGATAACACAAGCATGCAGTGTATTATGTTCATGTTACATTCATCCAGTCCTGTGTAACCTCTCTCTCATTACCTCGTCTTCCTATCTGTTTACTTCCCACAGGGCCGAGCGGTGCAGTCATCACACTGACAGGTTCAGGATTTGGCAATGACTCTCAGCAAATCTCCATCACCATAAACAATGTCCCCTGCAATGTTACTTCAGTCTCTGACACACAGATTCAGTGCACTGCAGGAGACAACCCAGGGGGGGCATACCCAGTCATGCTGCACCACCAGGTCAAAGGTCATGCCCAGTCAGCTGTCATGTTCATGTATGAGCTGATTCTGAGCAGCGTGCAGCCCAGTGAGGGTAAGCAGAGGCACAGTCAAAATAATCCATTTAATACATCCTCAATATTTTATATTCAAAGAAGGGTCACACATACAGAATATAGGGTAGGTAATCAGTGTGAAGGTAAATTCACACACCCCAGAGGTTAAATAGCAGAGTTTCCCTACCAGTCAGTCAGAACTTAAGGAGTCTCTCGGATGAGGGACTAAACATCTTCGAGTATGTTACAATCAAGTCCAGTTGCTCTTGATTCTAACCTAACTTGGATACCTATAACCTGGATGACTCCAAACCTTCACAGACAGCTTGGTACTAAGCGTAAACGATATGTTTGTCAGGAGACGGTGAGGTGACTAGCAGGATTGAGCCCAAACGCACAACACTTGAGAACTTTCAAGGGTTTTAATCATAGACTGTATATAAAAAGGTTTTAATCCAAAACTTAACAGAAAATCAGGCTTAAAGGCAGTTGAGGTTGTGAAAATCCAAGCAACAGATCAGGTAGCGCTGAGACAGGCAGGAGACTCCACACACAGGACAATGACCGGACTGACTAACAGAACACACTACCATATATACCTGGGCAAACGAGCTGGGCTGGAGCACAGCAGACACACAGGCAGGCAGATTGACTTACCGGGGGGACAGACAGAACACTGACATGTTGGAAAACAGGCCAAACTCAAATAACATAGGAAGAGTCCAGCAAAACAGAGCAGGCAAAACAAAGCACAATAAACACCAGTTAACTGAGGCAACTGAAAATAAACCCCCAAACAGTCGCAGGCATCTAATAAATGTACGAATCTGAAATGAAATTAAAAGCTTTGGTTTATACATAAATAGATGACTTTTCTTTCCAACCTCCATACAGTAGCTACCTATTGAAAAATGTATTTGAGTTGGTCTATTCGCAGAGCAGTCTGTATGTAATATTTTTTAACTTTATTTATTGCTTTGTGTTATCTCAGGCTCAGCAGAATAATCAGTAATAATCAATTCTGTCAATCAAGTCTGTTAGTTTAAGTTTTCTCCTTTATCTGTGATTCAGGCAGTTTTGGTGGCGGTGCTCTGCTGTCCGTGCAGGGTTCTGGGTTTGACCCGCACAACTCCACTGTGATGATCTGCGGTAAGGAGTGTGAAGTTCGCAGAGAGATATCGACATCAAACATTCTGTACTGCCAGTCTCCACTCAACAACGGTAAGTTTAGTTTACTCTAAAGATCAAACAAAGAATAAAAATAAAACGATAACTAAAATAACACAATTAAAACATATCAAACAGACTGCTCAGTATGTTGATTAAATTAACTGGTGTTCATATATCAAGCATAGCATTAGTTTAGGCAGGCAACGAAATCAAGCTCAGCTCACAATCCCAGCACTGCAGCTGATAGCAGCCATGTTAAGGCAGCCACATCAGCTGACAGCTCAGTTGATTAATCTCTTAGCATTCATTGGCAAATTCCATACAAGGCGCCTTATTTAAGCTACCGTAACCTGCCTAGCTGCTTCCTCTGCAACAGCTCATAACCCACCGCCACCCCAGATCTGCCTTTCATGCCGTATCTGATAGGTATGCACGATAATTATCGATCCGAATGGGCATATTCCATTATCGGAATCATATCGAGAAATACATTTTGGCACAGAATTTAGCCGATAAGAATCAACAATCCTAAAATGCGCAGCTGCTGTTGTTACTCATGAATAGAGCAACACAGATTCAGTGCAGGCAGCTAGAGCCAAACTAACATGTTGTCAAGGTTCAGATATTTTTCACTGTTTCAGAAGAAGACAGCGCATTGCATATGACATCAGTCCTTCCTCCTGTCCTCTTTTCTTCTGTCTGTACTGTGATCACTGTAGGTAACTTCATGCCAATTTGAAGCTCCATGGCAATCTAAGCTAAACAGTTAAAGATCCCAGAACAGGGCCATACCGCCAAACATAACTACAATGCTGCAATATCAGTTCTTTGATGAAAGTTGTCCTGACTTAAATCAGTTTCCATTTCCAGATTTCAGATGATCAATGATGGGAGTCTCAAATTGATCAGTTAAAAAATTTGAAGTGACAGTTTTTGAAATGTTCTTTATTATTCAGGCAGAACAGCATTACCCTGTGGTGAGATTGCAGCAATATCTAATATGCATCCCCATGGGTGTAAATTTCCCATTTGTTATTGTTGTATTATTTGTCCTTCCACATTTACAGTTTTACTCACTCTGATTTACTCACTAAAAGTTCTATGAAACAGCAATGTTTTCTCGGATAAGCGCCATTTAATTTATTTTAAAGTTTCCTTCTGAACAAAAGAGGCTGTTTATTTTCTAATCAACAGCTTTTCATCTTTCTAGTAAGAGTTAAGGAGTTAAAAGACTTTTCAAGTTTTTCTTTGGAAAGAATGTGTTCCTGATGGTTTATGATATTTTTAGTTCCTGAATCATCATCACAAACTTAAATAAACTTTAAATGCTGTAATAAAGACTGACATATGTCTTCAAGGAATGTTGTCAGCCTTTCATCGCAGCTGAAAAGGGCATGTCAGATAAGACACTTATCTCTGAGCATGCATCTTGATACTTCGTTTTTTCTGTCTGTCCGTTTGTCTTTGGATGTCCTGTCTTCTCTCAGGCACTCGCTCACAGGTGAGCTGTGTGGTTGCTGTCTTTAATCACCTGGATACCGTCAACATATCAAATGGCTTCACCTACAAATCTCAGTTGACTCCGGTGATCACTGAAGTTTCTCCACGCAGGGGAGGAACTGCCGGAGGCACCCAGCTCACAATCGCCGGCTCCGGTTTCAGGTGCAAAGGAGTAATCTCTGTAGAGTACATATGAAACAATAGAGAGCCACACAAAGATTATTGTCCACTGGTTAAGACTTAGGTACTCAATTTACAACAACACAAATTGTTTTTGTTTCATGGCACATTTCAATACCAAAATGTGTGCCAAAAGTAAAGTTTTAGTGTACAGTTACACACACCCAGAGAACTCAAACTGTCCGTTAAGAACAGAATATAATGAACAGCAGACAACAGTGTTTGTATTATATAAAATAGTTTGAATAGTAGTGTTGTAGTCAAGACTGCCCAAACCGAGACCAAGTCAAGACCAAGACCAGAGTTTTATCGAGACAAGACCAAGACTTTTAGGGGCTGAGACCAAGTTGAGACCAAGACCAGTTCTCCTGAATTACATTACAAAATAAAATGTGGTCCTCTCAAACACTCCTTTTTCATGCTTACCATCGCGGGTAGGGGTGACAGTCGTTAACGGCAGGGGTGTTTTTAGGATCTTGAAACATTGGGGGCCCATAAAACTTCATATCTTCACATAATAATTGCCCCCCCCCCCCCCCATCAAAGTTAAGTCTGTAAAGCAGTAAAGCAACAGTAAACATCATCAACTTATACGGCACAACAAAACTCAGAACAACGCTATTAACTGTTTGATTTTGATGTTGCTAAATTGTAATGTCATGTGACTAATTATATAATAATATAACAACAAAACTGTGACAGTATGAATAGGGGGGTCTGGGGATACTCCCCCAGGAAATTGTGAGTGTTAAACTCATAATTTCCTGCATTCTGGTGTCTTTCTACACCAATTCCTGCCTTTTCTGCATCAATTTAATGTGGAAATTATTTATGTACAGAGACACACAAAATTCAGGTGTTGCTGAATTGTGGTGAATATTTAAGAACATTTGATATTTTATGACCTTGTAACTGATTATTTATTTCCATCTTAAATGTAAAATTGTACTACTGCCTGCCTTGGCCAGGACACTCTTGGAAAAAGAGTTTTTCTGATTTAATAAAGGTATAATAAAACAATTTAAAATCTAAAACTGTAACAGAATATAATGCAGAGCTGCTCTCAGGCATTCTGGGTTGCTTTCAGATATGTTTCTCCTGTAGATCAACTTTTAATATTATCACTGCTGAATCAACACAGCAGGCGTGACTGATTGAAGTAAACTCTTTAAATGTGCATGTGGCATCTTTTTACATAAGCAATAATAAATGAAATCATTTTGATTCAGTTATAACCAATTTTAAAGGTCACTTTAAAATTGCAGTTTTGCTGCCCAGCCAACTTTTGTTGCCTGTACCTTTTATTATTGAGATGTAGCCAACTGAACCGCTTGCTTTGCTGTAGCACAGGCTGCCAATAAATGTGATTATTCCTGAAGCATCTAAATAATCTTCACAACGCAAAGAATTATTGTGGCAGTGACAGGAGAGCAGCTTGTTGTTGAAGCAGGTAAACCTACATACAGAGGAAGCTGTGCGTCATGCGTAAAACCCAACAGGACCCAACAGGACTGTTTTATCCACCATATTCTCTCTCTCTCTCTCTCTCTCTCTCTCTCTCTCTCTCTCTCTCTCTCTCTGCTGAGTGAAAGATTAGTTTCGCCGGCGACATTCAGTTTTTGGACTCACCGTCCACAAAAAGTTACCAATGTGTATTAAAGAAAAGAAACAGGCTAATGTCCAAAGCGATGCTCTGTTCAACAACAGGACACTTTTAATATATCTCAATCAATGCAGTGATCGTCTGACGTAGATCTTACAGTGTGTAGGCTTCATTTGCTCTCATTTTAATGCGCCGTTAATGGAAAGTGAAAGTGTTTCACTTGCCTGCTTGTTAAAGAGCGACGAAGGCTGCTTTCCAATACGGTCACCAGTGCCATGGTGTGCGCTCACTAGATTTCAGTTGTATTAGTAGAAAAATAAAGCCTGAAACTGAAAAGATATTTGCCTGATTTTCTAAATGTTTGCATCTGCCCAGCTCTGAAACTGTGACAACCACCCAACAAGTGCTTTTACTGCGTAGGATAACTGCGCGCACAGCCTGGATCACAGCTCATTTCGGTTAATGAAGCAAAATGCAGATTACAGACAGGTGAAGTTATAAAAGGTATGAATGGAAAATGTAATTAATTAATGAAATTAAGAGTAGTCCTACATTAGATGTACCCACCCCTGCTGCAGACATCATCACTGCTGCCTTCAGCTAGAAGTAACAGCAGCACAAAAGAAGAAGCTGCACCGGCCTCGAGCAACGTTTTTTTTCTCCCTAAACATTTCTATAGGCTAGCCTACATTTTGTCCCGGGACTAATGTGGAGTGTGTGAGTGATTGACTGGTCACTTAGTAAACGCCTTCTATATGAGCCAGCCCCGAAATCGCCTGAGCCAGGAAGGCTATGCGAAATAAAACTTTGCATTAGGAAAGAGGGGGGGACAAAACATAGATTTTGAAATTTGTATAATGCCTCCTATGCCTATCAGGTGATTAACCTCACCACTAATCCACACAAGTTAATTTCAGCGCCTCTGATAAAGTGCAGCTCACAGCCGCTTCAGGTGGAGCAGAGAGGACACAGAGCTACAGCTGGATCATCTTATTCTCTGCTAATTTGCAGGAGAATAAATAATAACAATAATCTCTCTCTCTCGCTCGCTCCCGCGCACGTAACTTTAGTTAAGCGAAAGTTCAATTTTTGGACTTTTGTTGTTTGATTTTTAGAAATCCTTCTGAGATCTGGTTAAAATGAAGGGCAACTGGACTTGGTTGAAGATACTGGAAGACGTTTCGTCCCTTATCCAAAGGACTTCTTCAGTTCTGACTGACTGGCAGGGAAACTCAGCTATTTAACCTCAGTGGGGTCGTTATCCCAGGTCATCGATACCGCTGGTTCGTTAGTGTTCCTTGGTGTTGTGACGACAGTCGTTACAGTCGTTAAGACTACCTGTGGCCAAGACTGAACGACCATCGTTGGTATCTTCACCTGAGGCCAATAGGTTACGTTTGTTGAGTTTCCTGGGAAGTGATGAAAGGACAGCATTGTAAGTGGGGGATAAGTGGTGGCGTAGACCCCCTCCCCTGTTCAATGACGGCTTCTCAACCCGGGTGTAGATGGCTTCCTTGACACCTCTTTCAAACCATCCATCTTCTCTGTCTAAAATGTGCACCTGGTGGTCCTCAAACGAGTGTCCTCTGTCCTTCAGATGTAAGTAGACTGCAGAGTCTTGACCTGAGGAGTTGGCCCTTCTGTGTTGAGCCATGCGTTTGTGTAGTGGTTGTTTAGTCTCCCCAATATACAGGTCTGTGCATTCTTCACTGCATTGGACCGCATACACTAGATTGCTTTTCTTGTGTTTGGGTGTGCGGTCTTTGGGGTGGACCAGCATCTGTCTTAGTGTGTTCTTGGGTTTAAAAAACACAGGGATGTTATATTTGTTAAAAATCCTCCTGAGTTTCTCTGATACTCCAGACACGTATGGAATCACAATGTTGTTGCGTTTGACCTTCTTTTCCTCCTCCCCTGTAGTTTTGTTCTTCTTGGATCTTGTGGCTGTTTTCACAAAGGTCCATTTAGGGTATCCACAGGCTGTAAGTGCCCCCTTCAGGTGGTTCTGTTCCTTCTCTCTGGCTTGGGCGCTTGTTGGTATGTTTTCCGCTCTGTGGTGCAGTGTTCTCATGACCCCTAGCTTGTGCTCCAGTGGGTGGTGTGAATCGAAGAGTAGGTATTGGTCTGTGTGTGTGGGTTTTCTGTAAACACCAATCTGCAGGCTCCTGTCCTCTTCAATGTGTACAGCGCAGTCCAGGAAGGCCAAACTGTTGTTGTGAACATCTTCTCGTGTGAACCTGATGTTACTGTCCACAGAGTTGATGTGTTCTGTGAAGGCTTGCACTTCCTGGCTTTTGATTTTGACCCAGGTGTCGTCCACATATCTGTACCAGTGGCTCGGTGCTGTTCCTCTGAAGGAGTTGAGGGGTTTACTCTCCACTTCTTCCATGTAGATGTTTGCCACAATCGGGGATACCGGTGAGCCCATGGCACAGCCATGCTTCTGTCTTTAGAATCCACCGTTGTACTGGAAGTAGGTGGTGTTTAGACAGAGGTCGAGTAATTTGCAGATTTGGTAAGGGCTGAGGCTAGTTCTGTTGTCCAGGGTGTTGTCTTGTGTTAGCCGTTTCCTAACGGTTTCTACTGCCTCTATGGTGGGGATGCAGGTGAACAAAGAAGTCACGTCATAGGATACCATGGTTTCATCTGGATCCAGTTTTAGTCCTCGAACTTTGTTTTGCCTTATTGTATATTTTCTGCTACATAGCAGAAGGGAGGTACAAACCTAATTTCACTTTACAACCTGTTGTAACATATTAATGTTATATAATTAATATAGGGTTAGGGTTAGTATATTCTTACATGCAATTTTTTTTTTTTTTGCTATTTTTTTAATTTTATATATATATATATATACATATATATAATAAATAATAACATATAGGATTTGGATTTGTTTTTTGTACTTTGTAGTATGTAGTATTTTGTACTATGTAGATTTGTTATTATATTATAGTATATCACATGGTAGAGTATATAGTTATCTATCATGCTATTGTGTTTAATACGCCAATCAGCCATAAAATTATGACCACTGATTGATTATCTCATTTCCATAGCACCTGTCTGTGGGTGGGAAATATTAGGTAGGGAAAATGGGCTAGTGTAAGGATTTGAGCAACTTTGACAAGGGCTAAATTGTGATGGCTAAACAACTAGTTCAGAGCTTCTCCAAAATGGTCTGTAGTGGTCAGTACCTATCAAAAGTGGTACAAGGAAGGAAAAAGCGGTGAACCAGCAACAGGCTCATTGATGCACATGGGTAGCGAAGGCAGGCCCCTTTGGTCCGTCCAACAGACGAGCTACTGTAAGTGAAATTGCTGAAAAAGTAAATGCTGGTTCTGAAAGAAAGGTGTCAGAACACACAGTGCAAACACAGTGGAGTCCATGTCTCGGCAGGTGGTAATAACGATATGGCTGATTGGTGTATATAGGTATTTTATGTTGATCAAGGATGTTAATGTATCTTTTATGGTGCATTGTATTATATACATACTATATATAATTTTATGTCACTATACAATGAATAACGTAAGCATTAATTGAATCTATCTGATCTATCTTTCTATCGATTAATGAATAGAATAAATTAATCAATCTATTGATATAATTCTTTCCCACCTTACAGCACTGACATGAATGAAGTCAATGTCACCATCGCAGGGTCTGTGTGTGATGTTCAATCCACCAACAACACACACATTATTTGTGTGACAAATGCTCAGCAACAGTCTCAAGAAACCAAAGTCAGAGTCAGCGTCAGAGACCAAGGCATCGCTAAGATGGTAAGAGAGTGCAGTCAGATCTCCTGACCTTACTCGCAACAGAGTTTGTTTTATTCACATCAAAATATAATCGCACTGATTTCATACCTTTAGAGTACATTTTTGTCTTAATCCTGTATTTGTCTCTTTCTTTAGGATAATGCAAGTTTCTTCTACATTGACGTGTGGTCGTCCAGGTTCACGTGGGGTGGTCTGTCTCCACCTGAGGCCGGCTCGTTTGCTGTCATTACTAAAGGCCAGACCATCCTGCTGGACACCAGCACCCCAGTGCTGAAAATGCTTCTTATTCAAGGTGCAAAAATTACTTTATCATGTTTTTTTAATTTTATTTTGGACATGTGTACATCCCATTTTTAGACACAGAGAACCAGATTCCAAATTGATGTCAGAGTTTCTCCCTTTCTGTATTTACTTTTTTTCTCACCTTCCTCTCACTAAAGACTATAAAATAATAATATAATAATTTTTTAAATAATTTTAGTTTGCATAGTTTGTAGGATCCAAAGAGAAGTGTTGTACTTGCTCAGTACAAGGACATTTTTTCCCCACCAGTGTTTAGTTTGTAACATGTTTCTTTGTGCTCAGGAGGGACGTTGGTGTTTGATGAAGCTGACATCGAGCTGCAGGCAGAAAACATCCTGATCACAGACGGCGGACGGCTCCAGATTGGCCAGGAGGGGGCACCATTTCAACACAAAGCCATCATCACACTTCATGGACACCTGCGCTCACCTGAACTTCCTGTTTATGGAGCTAAGACGCTGGCTGTCCGAGAGGGAGTGCTGGACCTGCATGGTATGAAAACATGTAAACATAATCAAACTGATGATTGGGTTGATGCAGCTCTCATGTCTGTTTTAAGTATATGAAGCCACAGCCAGCAGCCAGTTAGCTTAGCTCAGCAGAAATACTGGAAACAGAGGGAGACAGAAATTATGCCTACCAATACAGGATGATAAAGAAGTAGTATTGGTACTCTGATTAACTCTGGAAAGGAAGCAAATTTTTTGGACCATCCTAGAAGATATGAATGTGGTTTTTATACTGAAAAATTTGTACCAGGTAAGCTTTTTAAGTCTAAAACAATATTTAAATCTTTATTTTTTCAAGATATAGAAAACAGCTTGAAATAATCTTAGTTCACTGCAAAATAAGGTCTTCTGGTCTCAATTATTGACAGAGATGTCATCACAACATTGAGATTTTTGCGAATTAAACTGCCCGGCACTATATAGTGTATACACATTAATGCCTCCAAAATCCTTTCACATATATATTGTATATTGTTTATACAGTAGGATCTTTTAATACAAAGTATGATTTTTTTACTTTGTTGCATTACTACTTTTTATTAAGAAAATAATCAGAATACTTCTTCCACCACTGAATTACAACCATCTCTGTTGAGAATCAAGTAATAGAAAATATTATGTAAAAAAATTATGTCACATAATGATAAACTGACAAACAACGATTGATCATTATTATTATTATTGGTACCTCACTTCAGGTACAAGTCATTGCTGACAACCTGTTTCTCCAGGTATTCCAGTTCCTGTCCCTTGGACCCACTTGGCCCAGACGGCAACCAACGGTTCTGTCACACTGACCCTAATGAAGGCAGTGACTTGGAAAGCTGGAGACGAAATTGTCATTGCTTCCACCGGCCACAGGTACAGCAAGGTCTCAAATTCATGCATGTCTAAGCTGAAACCAGAAGTTATTTAAAAATCCAACTATTACCGCAGCTCTACAAAGTCCAGACACAGTTACGAGTTATTTGATCAAATGTGAGTTAAGACAAAAATGAGACTTTTTGACATCTTACCTTACTATTAAAAAAATATTTATGCATTACAAAATTGTAAATGTGTAAAAAAAAAACAAAAAAACAAAACGCTAATAAGCTACAGCTAGTAAGATAGCCTTAGATAAAGCTAATGTACCCACCTTTTCTTCTTTCCTATATTTGAAATATCAATTTTGATGCTGATGTTATATCACTTAAAAGGGCAGTAGCTAAATCAATTCCTAATGAAGAAAAAAAGGACACCAGATAAACTAGTCCTGCTAAGTTGATTAGCAATAACTGCCACTTCTGCTGCATCTGACTTCATGTGATTTCATGTGGTTCCTTTGAATCAAATTTTTATATGTATTTAATTAAGGGTTCATTTATTAAACTAGCCCATTAGTCCAAATGGACAAAAAAGTTAAAGAAGTAACAAGAACATACGTTCTTTGAAGATGTTGTGTTTTCTCTGCATCGTTTAGATGTATTTTGTAAAGTTGTAAAGTTAGTTACAATAATTAATTATCAGTCTAAAATTAAGGTTTACAATTTCACTGCTCCTACATAAACATAAAAACCTCTCACAACACTCCTTTAGGCTGATATCAGGATTCTATCTGACATTAAGCAAAACGTGTAAAGTAACCACATCATGTAACAGTGCAGCACAAAAATCATGCCTTAAAGGAAAATGTTCGACAAAATATCTACCTTGTACACACAATCGCCTGCTTTAAGGAATAAAAAAATCATATAGTTGTTCTTGCTCTCATTTTAATAAAAATTTAAAGGACAAAAGTTACAGGTATATAGCTGTGCATAGATTTATTAAATCATTTTTCAAAGCTTGTTCAGGCCAATTATTTTTACTTTACTGTACTATACCCTACTGTAGAAACAATGTATTTCCTGTTGTTTCCAGGCACAGCCAGAGAGAGAACGAGATGAGGAGGATTGCTGCCGTGTCAGCTGATGGAAAGACTCTAACCCTGACCGAACCCCTCAAGTACACTCACCTTGGGGTTACCGTCACACTGGCCAATGGTACAGTGTTTGAGGGCCGAGCTGAGGTGGGTCTCCTCACCAGGAACATCGTAGTACGAGGCTCCCAAAACCAAGAATGGAACGATAATATCGCAGCCTGCCCCGATGGCTTTGACACAGGTAACGTGTTTTGGTGGTGTTAGATTTTTCTGATTTGATGTTACACTAAACACTGTGTAAAAGTAGAAATAAGAGATGTTGTTATGTAAATATTTGACTGAATCAAAAGGTCGGCGGTTCAATCTTTGGCTCCTGCCAAGTGTCCTTGGGCAAAATACTAAACCCCAAATTGCTCCCTGTGGTTGTGTGAATGTATTTGCTTCTGTGTTTTTATGTGTAGTTGGCACCTTACATGGCAGCCTCTGCTATCAGTGTATAATAGCAAATAAGTGAATAATTGCTTGTACTGTTGCTATGTAAGTACAGTTCATTTACCAGAAAGGTTCTGGCTTTTAAAAAAGAAATGTGGTTATTGACAAATCTATTAATGTACTAATTGTTTTAGCTCTACTTTAGGTTAACAAGGAGGAATTTGCATTGAATAGTACTGTAAGCTTTTCAAACTGGTGAAAAATAAGAGCTTTTTAATAGATTATAAATATATCTAATGAAATTAACAGTTTGCAATTCAACAGAGTATACAGGGTTCAGAATATTAAAAAAATATGATGTAGGTTGTGGGCTTGACCCCCACACTTTGGGCATCATTTGTACCTGTTTCACTGCTGTTCTTATTTTGAGATAATTACATCATGTATATAATCGTTGGGCTATGCAGTATTAACATCTTTCTGTCCTGGTGCTGTAGGTGAATTCGCCATCCAAACCTGTTTTCAAGGAAGGTTTGGAGAGGAGGTTGGCAGTGATGAGTTTGGGGGATGCATCATGTTTCATGCACCCAGACCAAATGAGAATCTTGCCATTGGCAGACTGGAATATGTTGAGGTAAAATACTGAAAACTTTCTCTGATGAAACTTCTAGTTCTACATGTTGATCAGATTACTCCTGTTTTTCTAAATCTCCTTATCCTCACAATCTGCTTTTTTTCCATTTGTATGTACTTATCCACACAAATTGAAATGGTAAACTTTAAAGTCTTTATGCTTTAATGCCACAGGTCTTCTATGCAGGACAGGCCTACAGGCTAGGACGTTATCCCATCCACTGGCATCTAATGGGAGATATTAACTACAAGTCATATGTGAGGGGTTGTTCTATCCATCAGACCTTCAACAGGGCCGTAACCATCCACAACACCCACAGGCTGTTGGTGGAGCACAACGTCATCTACGACATCATGGGTGGGGCGTTCTTCATCGAGGATGGCATTGAGACACAGAACATCCTGCAGTACAACCTGGCTGTGTTTGTCAAACAAAGCACCAGCCTGCTGAACGACGATATCACTCCCGCCGCCTTCTGGGTCACCAATCCCAACAACATCATCCGCCACAACGCCGCTGCGGGTGGCACCCACTTCGGCTTCTGGTACCGCATGCACCAGCACCCCGATAGCTCATCCTACGATCCAAACATCTGTCAGAATAGGGTTCCCATCGGTGAATTTTACAACAACACTGTGCACTCTCAGGGCTGGTTCGGCCTTTGGATCTTCCCAGAATATTTCCCCATGAAGGACGGCGCCTGCTATTCCAATACCCCCAAGCCAGCTGTCTTCAAGTCACTCACCACTTGGAACTGCGAGAAAGGTGCTGAGTGGGTCAACGTGGGCGCTGTGCAGTTCAACAGCTTCATCATGGTCAACAATGAGAAAGCCGGCATTGAAGCCAAGCGTATCCTGCAGTGGGCCGTGAGCGGCTTTGGAGAGATCGGAGGGGCAATGATATCCAACAGCACCATTGTGGGCCATGTGGACGAGCTCGGACTGGGAGATGACTACTGCACGCAAAGAGGCATCATTGCGCCATTGGATGATGGCTTGAGTGTCCTTAACACCAAGTTCATCAACTTCAACCGTAGCTCTTGCACAGCCATCGGGTTAGCCTCAACGTGTGTGGGCCAGTGTGGAGCCTGGGCTATCAGGTTTAGTGGTGTCCAGTACAGTAACTCACCAAACAAGGCTGGCTTCAGGTGGGAGCATGAGGTACAACTGGTGGACAGTGATGGCTCCCTCACAGGTATCAGTCTTTAGTCTCTTACTGTTCACTTGTTTAATGTTTTGCACAAATCCCTCATATAGTTGTATTAATATTCAGTCTGTCAATTAAAAAAAAAGTTGTGTTATTATTCCAAACTACATATTTAATCAGATCCTCAATCTATCAAGCTTTTCCTATTGTTAACAAATCCTATAAAAAGTCAACAATACCTCCCTACTGAGTCTGTGGACTGAGGCCTTAGCCCCGGGGTATTCAATTAAAATTTAAAGATCTTGCAGTTAGAGATTGTTTCCTCAAGCAAAGCTCTTGAACCAATGACGCCTTGTTAATCAGTGCCATAGCCTAGTTGTATTAAAATTTATTTTGTAGTCAGCAAGTAGATTGTCAAATCAAATAAAAATATATTTCAGTATTATTTCACGTACATTTACTGTCGGTTTTCCCAATGAACTGGGGGGATTACAATTAACATTATTAAGTACTCCAATTATAAATTCTCTAAGTAAAATAAAGTCTACATTTCAACATAAAATACAAAAAATAGCTTTTGAAAAATGTGCATTTCAAAATGTGTCTCTTGTTCAGTGAAGAGAGTGAGTTCTAGTTTGTTCTGCCAGTTCGAACTGTATTTTCTGTACATTTCTGTCTGTGGATTTAAGTGACTGTTTGCTCATTTGTGTTTTGTCTGGTAGTGGCGCTTTACATTGTCGCTTTTAATAATTGCGACAGTCTCAGAACAAATGAGACATACTGGTTTTGTCCTGGCCGTGAGAAGAATAAACTTAAGCTGCGCAGGTTAAAATAGAAACGCTCTGTCACAAGTTAATTATTCTCAATAATTTATCGGTTATAGGTCCAGGTGCAGAGACGATGACTGCTGGGTTCTAACCCGGACCTATTAGTGACCTTGGCCTTAGCCTATTGGTAACTGGTGAAGATGTAAATATGTGAAAACAAACAACAAACAAAAAAATATATGTCTCATTTTTGTACAATACTCAGTGTCCAAAAACACTGAGTATTTTAGCAAACATTATTCAAACAGAAGTGAATAGTGCATTCATTGGAGACGAATTAATACACAGTTGATGTTCTAGTTAGTATTTCCGGACAGTGTATGTGGGATTTAGTCAAAATGAACTATAGTCCCCATGTTCATGCAAATGAGGGAACATGTCACTTAGTGCATCAATGTGGCTTATTCATGTGTTCTATGGCTTAGAAGAGTTTTACTTATTAACGTGTATTTTAATCTTTTCAGTATTTTCTTGCTTTTATCTTGTATTGTTTCTGTATTATTGTTTTTTGGGTTATTTATTATTATTGTTAAAGCACTTTCTAACTTTGAAAAGTACTCTACAAATAAAGATTATTATTATCATTATTGTAACAGGTTCTGGGTAAACATACAATTCTTGTTAGTAGGTTCAATTATTTGTTGGTTTTGGTCTTGAAAGAGTATTAGTAGTACAGAGTATAGCCAGACATGCCAGAGTGTAACAGTCATTCAGACAAAAATTTGACATATTATCAAAATACGTTATATAACTGTCTTAACCATATTTCCTTGTTTTCAGGAAAAATCAACCATAAAGTTGTGCCTATGAGCCCCTTACTGGACCCTGCTCACTGTTCCCAGACGGCCGAATGGAGTGTGGGTTTCCCCGCCGCTGTGTGCGACCACACCATCAACTTCCATCGTTTCGATTTCAACAATCTATCACCAGGCTCTCTGTATGGCAGAGATGTCATCTTAACCAACTCACATGGTACTAAAACACACAGACTTACAACTTTGAAATGTCTGTGAGGGGATGATAAACAGAATTAATTTCAGTACAGTATCGGTAGTAAGCTAAATTCAAAGTACACATGGTAAACATTTAACGATAGTAAACTTTTACTTAAATACAAAGTATATTCATACATCCATCCTTTTTTAATTTTCCTGTGATAAAAATATTGTACATTTTAACTGTTAAGATATTTCACAGCCATCTGGCAAGCTGAATTTTGGGCTCCACATATTTAAAGGATTACAGATCACAGAGTCACATAGTTATTTTGTGAAATCTGCAATATGTAAGTATATAAATGCACATAAGAAATGTCCATGTTAAAAATGTGGTGTGTGTATATATATATATATATATAAATATACACACATTCTCACTCTTACTAAACTGCTAGTAGCTGACACCATAAGCTACAACAAAGAAAATTGCTATATAGCAAACAAAATGTCTAAAGCCAACATAACAAGGTTGTCATCAGACAATAATCTGAATTACTTAGGTAAGCTTTTCAAAGTCTAATGAGTTCACTACACAGATTCAATTACAAAGTCTAATATGCTCACAACAGTTCTCTATTTACAATGAACACAGACACACACACACACACACACACACACACACACACACACACACACACAGTACACAGGCTCAGGTTGGGAATGGCAGAGAGAGAGGGGAGAGTTCCTGTCAGTGGGGTTTAAGATGGCTGCTGTCATCCAATTGAACGATCAGGAGGCAGCAATGAGCTATGCAGGACCAATCCAGTGTGCCCACCTGTTCTCCATTACCTGTATACACACTCTTAAGGGAGGAGACAGCTGACAGTGCAGGGTGAGACAGATTACCACTGGCACCACTGTTTCTTTTACTCTCAGTATCTTTTCTAGCTCCTCTTTCAGCCCCAGCATTTTTCAATCTTCTTGCGTTCCTTCTTCTTGATGTTGCTTGATTGCCACATCTATCTCTGCTTCCTTCTTCGGCTGTTTGTCGATCAACACGATGTCTGGTTGGTTAGCCATCACCAGTTTGTCAGTCTGGATCTTAGTGAGTCCCACAGGATCTTAGCTCTGTCATTCTCAACTACCTTAAGAGGTGTCTTCCATTTTGACCTTGGGACTTCCAGCCCATACTCATGGCACATGTTCTTGTACACTATTCCAGCTACCTGGTTGTGGCGTTACATGTATGGTGTTCCTGCCTGCCTCTTAAGCCAGGAATGTTATGTGCTGTACTGTCTCAGGGGCATCCTTGCACAGTCTGCACCTGGGGTCCTGCCTGGTGAGGTAGACCCCAGCCTCTATTGATCTTGTTTAGTCCATCCTTTTCTAGCCACTGGTTGGATTTCTTGATATCTGCCACTTCTTCTATTTGTCGATGGTACATGCCTTGCAGCGGCTTGTCTCGCCATGAAGGCACCTCGTAATCTCAGCATAAATTAGCGTTACGACCTGCGAGGTGCATGCCAATTCGGCACAATACCTGTGCCTAATACCTGTGCACAACACCTGTTCGGTATGCACTGTCAATTTGGGCAGCGACGTTTACCCATCCTAGTAAGCCCAATTTCATTCAAAGCATTGTCCAGATGACTCCCGCTGCTCTCATGTTTTGTCCTTTTTTAATCCTCTCTGAAAGATGTTTCAAATCCTTGTAACCGGTCCTCGACCAAGTACCATCTCCGCCAAATAGCAGACATGGAAAACAGAAGAGTACCTTCTTTTGTATGCTAACCGTTAGCCATTTCTGAATGCGCATTAAATTAGACTGGGGCTAGCCCCACATTCATGCTAGCCTATGGATCTGTATACTATGGACACAAAACGGGAGAACGCAGTCTAAATTCACAAAGCAGGGAGGCAATTTAGGAATGTGTTTTATTCAGAGATGGTAAATTATTGCACATAATAATCTTTTTTTTTAATTACAAAAAAACTCGTTTGCGCAGTTCTTTCTGTTGACAGTGTTACACTTGCCCCTGTATAGTAGCATGCATCAGATCCATATTTTCTAATCTAGTCCATGAATGTCTTGTTCCAGTAGCCCCTGGTGTGTAGATAGACACTACACTTTAATTTAGTTATTTTATATATATACACACGTGTAAGCAGCTGGTCCATTTGTTCTGGAGAAGAGGAGGCTGACTTCGGCTCCATGTAGAAACCTGCTGACTGATCCGCTGTAAGATGTAAACACACCGCTGCACGGTGGCTGCTGTTTCCGAGCAATACATTTAATGCCGACATACAATATCAGGCGGCCATTGGCGAGACTTGTGTGGCTATTTGACTGTTGATTGTGATTTATTGGTTTGCAAACAAAAGTGGAAAAGAGGAGCAGTAGTAAAAAAACAGCCGACATGCTTATCCATTCAGAAATTCACTGCACGTCTACTGCAAAGACTGTCCAGTATACTAGTATACATGACTGTAATAGTATAATATTATAACATTAAATAAAGAGTATAATGTTCACTGCTCGAAATGAAAAATGATTTCTGAGTGCACTGCTCAGAAATTTTTCTGATTAATTTTATTAATTGTTCAGTCCCAGTTTAAAGTGTTGTTTTTAAACTCAATATTACAGGCACCAGTGTGATTCCTCGCTGGATGGCCTTGCTGCCCTCTAGACAAACATACAACTGGTACTTTAAAAATGTGGAGCAGATCACCACCATCAGTTATACTGCAAGATTCTACGGCTTCAAGGTACATGGAAGATCCTTAATATGATATTAATTCAAGGAAATAATCTTCATGCCTTTTTACATTGATGTGTTTTTAATTGTAATTCTTCCCCTCACACAGCCGGATCAATATGTGATCATCAACCACAACTTCACCCAAAGTCCAGACATAGTCCACATCATCGATGACAGGAATGGCTCATCGTCACCGCTGAACTTCAGTACTGACAAGAACGGAGACTGGTACTTCAACGAGAGCTCCAACAACCTCTACTACATTGGTTAGACACACTTTAATAAAGATCTATTGATCGTAATGCTAATATTGACGATCGATTAATCATTTGGGTTTTAAATAAAGCATTCTTTGGGTTAGGGGGTGTCAGTCAGACAAAACAAGATATCACCCTGGGCTGCTTGAATGTGATGGCGTGTTTCACTAATTTTGGACCAAAAAAATCTAAGATGACTACTGCTAGTCATAGGCTATTTTGCAGCCTACTGTTGGCTGCTCTAACATAATCAGAGAATACTGTTGAGTTGTTCAGCAGTTTTTGTCTGTTGTCTTGTCTGTCCTTGACAAAAATAATAACATTTATAAAGAGTATAATGCTCTATGAATGAGCATAAACACTAGTTAAAACTGTCTAATTATTATTACTTTTATTTACACAAATGTTATTGGCCTAAATCTATATCTTACATCACACTAAGCCACTGGATTTTAAGTTTTTGTGTGCTTTGGTGACTGTTTGCCTCATGATGACCTCAAAATGGAGTTTTTAGTTTATCGTCTTGTTTAGTTATCACTAACCACACAACAGCATTCAGCAAAACGTTCAGTAATATGTGCGTCTTTATTCATTTGACACCATTTTGCATCTGCAGTGTCTGGGAAGACCAGCCAACGCAGGCGTCGGGAGACCGTTGACCGCTCCATGGTTGACTCTGTGGTGAACTTATGGGTCTACCGCTGCTTCTACCCCAAATGCATCCCACCTACATCACCTATACCACCTACACCACCACCTCTAGCCACGCTCGCCCCCTTACCCAACAGCCGGCCTGCCAATTTCATGTATGTTAAACCCCCCACTAGAACATGTTATTCATGACCAGGATCAAACTCACCAGCTACAGTCAGGCCCTCTTAATCACTTCAGCTTATGTGCTATATGTAAATATGACATTTCCTGGCATTAGAATTATGAAAAATGTATTATTACAACATTAAAAACTGGTTTTAATGTTCCTACTAGATGTTTTTTGCAACTTAAAATCTAAATTAAAATGACAAAAAAGTGGGAGACTTTCACTGGCTCTAGCTTTAAAAGCATTATATATTTCGTATGAAAAATAATCTGCAAAATATGCAAAGAAATCCACAGCTGTCAGAAAAAAATTTTAGTGGAGTAAAAATTACAATATGTCCCTAATATGTTGTGGAGTAAGTATATAGCCATTAGTCATCGTCAGCACCAGGCAGAAGTGGATTTCATGTTATTCAGAGGTGGTTTCCAGATTGTGTAAAACACGTCAGTAACAGTAAAATGTGTAAACTGTGGTGTAAACAGAATGTAGTGTGTACACACACACACACACACACAAATAGTATACATAAATCAATATAATGAACAGGTTGTAGATAGGTATGCACATAAATATACTGTATATATTGTGATTTACTCATTTGTGATGGATCCAACCCAACCTTCAAATTAAGGAAGTTAAACTTGTTTCTTTTTTAAATAACAAGGCTGAAAACTGCCAGAGCGGTTATAGGGAGACAAAAATCTCTGTAATTGGATTGTTGTCACAATATATTTCCTAAACTGAAAATAGTTATTATGTTGACTCTAGTCTGACCTGCTGAATGCCTGAATGACCTGTGTGTGTTTCTCTCTAGTCTTTGGTCTGATGCCTCTTTCTGGAAAGGTTCAGCTGAAAATAACTTCACAGTACCAACAGAGGGCGCTGATGTGGTCATCCCATCTGGTAATGTCTAGCAGTAGGAAAAAAAACTTATTGCAAACTTTTTATTTCAATCCAGCAGGTGTTGCATGTTAGAAGCTTGATTTTGACACTTTATATATTATGTGTTGATTTTCGTCATGTAAGATGAAAAATAAATTAAATTTCAGACAATCTCCGAACCATGTGTGGTGATACAATTTGGATTGGTTAATTATGTTTTGTTCATTTAAGGGCCAATATCCAGAAATGAATTCAAAATGTTTACAATAATAAAAATTCAAAATAACAGCCAAATATTCGGTTTGAACAGATCTTATGTTAGTGTAGTGTTATTATAACACCTTTGTGTCCCCATAAAACCAAAGGCAAGTGGATCGTTTTGGACATCGACACTCCTCGCCTCAACAAGCTGACTATCATTGGAGTTCTTGAGATCCCCGACACCATGAATAGTTCATCCATCAAACAGGCTCAATACAACACTGTGGTGATAGATGCTGTCTACATCTCTATCCAGGTCAGTGTGATCAGTCATCTCTTTGACTTCCACGATTATCCAGATTATGACATTAACTCACTCTTAATGCAGCTTAAACGTGAATTAGAAAAGTGGGATAAAGTGGTAACTTCTATTTATCTTCAAAATGTATTTCAGGAGGATGTTCTCATGTTTTTTCATGTTACAATACAGTTTGTGCGTGCATCACCAGAATTTTTTTTCTCTCACATGCCTCTCAGGGCTTCCTTAGTCCGAGTAAAAGGTGATCAAAGTACTTCCTATTCAGTGTGATTGATGGTTGATGCCTAGTACAGTGTGTCAAGTGAAGTAATGTTTGCGTCTCCTGCTGTTTCAGGGCGGCAGGCTGATTGCAGGATGGGGTGAGCCGTTCAGAGGTCAGCTGCACATCAAACTGAGAGGGAACCACCGCACTCCAGACTGGCCTCTGCCTAATGGACCCAACCAGGGATCCAAAGTCCTGGGTAAGTAAACAGCATTGCAGTCAACACACAGTTTCACACATTTATAAATATAATTGCTATGTATTGTTGTGCAATAAATTTAACAATATATTTGTTGTAGAATATTGTGCTATATTTTATATATATTGTAAATATAACTACATACTGTAGGTGGGCCGTTTTTCTATTTTATTAGGAAAGTTAGTACAGCTTTACATACAGTGTAACTGTATTTCTCATTACATTTCAATCAATAAATATACTGTAAACTCCTACACCTACAAATAAACACATACACGTCTACTCAAAACTCACACGCATAATAGAAATAATACAGCAACTAATAACAGTACAGTATCTTAAGGGGGAATATATGTTGTACTACAATTACTGGATTATTTAAAATCTAAATGGTGATACAGCCTCATTCCAGGATTACCAGCAGCTTTCAAAATTGTTAGAGCCTTTTAGCAAATGTTACAAAAATATTATGTCTTACTACTACTACTTATTTATTTTCAAACCCATTAATGGTATCCTTCAAAATATTTCAGATATGTCATAAACAATATATTACATTATATTATTTGTCAACTGTGATAATTCAAAAGAATGCTACAACTGCTCCATCCAAAAGATATGCTGAACTCTTGACTTTACATTACATTAACTCATTTGGCAGATGCTTTTATCCAAAGCAACCACTTACACTTAAGGAACAACATACGAGTATCATTAAAGCATCAATAAAGTAGGAAGACCAGGATTTGAACCCTCAACCTTTGGATCTGAAGGGCAAGATCTTTTCTGATGTGAATGTACAATTAGCCTGGGACAAAGATGTGATAGTATTAAATTATGCCATAAAATTTATAATCCCAGCTCAGTGGGATGCACTGTGTGGTGTCACATGTTTCAGAACAAGCTCAGTGTGTGTTTTGTGGTACCACAGGTGTGTTTGGTAGTCTGGAGCTCTATGGACTACCTCACAATGTTTACCACACCAAACTCGCTGCTACTGCTTACGCCGGATCCAAAACTCTGACCCTGACGCAGTCTGTGGACTGGCAGGTCAGTTTTATGTCTTTGTTTTAGTGTTATATAGTGTTATTTAGTGTTATTATAATGTGAAAATTCTTTAAGCAGAAGTAATCAAAAAACAAAATCTTGCCTTGATGTAAAATCAGACATAACTGAAACTACACTGACCTATGTCATTGTTTAGTATTAATACAACTACGAAAGATAGTATTCAGTCATTTGTTTATATGTCTGCTTTCTTGTGCAGGTTGGAGATGAGGTCGGCATCTCCACCACCAGTTACAATGCCTGGGAGACAGAAAAACGTCAGATAACAGCCGTGTCAGCAGACGGCCGAGTCCTGACCCTGAACCAGCCTTTGACCCACACTCACATCAGTCAGTTCAACATCTATCTCTAGAATAGCAAAATTATATATACTGCAGTTTTATTTGTATATTTGAACTGACATCCAAGTTGCTGCTTGCCAACTAATATTCCTTACTTAACTAATTTTATAAAAGTTTTAAAATTTTGCTATTAGCAAAATGTCCTTGTTTTAATCTGAAATTCAGAATATCCATTACCAGTCAAGGACTGAAATTTAGCCCATGGCTTTAATTTGTCAGCTTAATAGATGTATGTCGTGGTGTGCATTTATATTTATCCTGAAATACGACCATATTTACCTCTTTTTCTCTCTCTCTTCAGGTGAGACTCACTCTGTCTCAGGCACATCATTCTCCTACACTCTGGCAGCTAATGTTGCTCTCCTGACCAGAAACATTAAGATCATCGGTCAGGAGTATCCAGAGATGATGCAGGAGTCATTTGGGGCCAGACTTTTGGTGGGCACCTACTCCTGGGCTGGTATCAACTATAAAGGTAAACAATGTGATTTCTCTTCTTACAGAACACTGCGATTACTGAACTGGTATTTTGGACCTATGATCCCTCTCAGTTTAAAGCTGTTGATTTACAGATAATTTGGACTCAGGAATGTCTGCAGGTAGATTTTCTTTTAGGTGCACATTTCCATTTCCATTTGAAACCTTGAAACACCTTTGCATCTGTAACTCAGCACAAACTGAGGATCATTCATTCAGGTTGTGAAGAAATTAAGTAAAAAAAAATGTTGAATGAAATCCCTCAAACTTGTTTAATCTGTTAAGACCTTTTTTCATTCAAATAACACATAAACCATCAGCTCTTGTTTTTATTGATTATACATGCCCCAAATTGATATTTATCACCTCATTCCTTGTTTCAACAACATGAAGTGCATAGATTAAGATACTGTATATTCAGCTTTGGCACAGCTTTAATTGAATTCACTATGCTTTATTGCCATAATTGTTTATGTTCAACAATGTTGTCAAAGTAGAAAGTCACATATAAACAATAAAACATTTGATATATAAATAATAAACAAAAAAATTCAATTTAAAAAAAAGATTATTTATATATTAGTCTGGGTTTCCCTTGGTTGTTATCAGTTCGTGGCATGAAGACATACAGTACATTTTGCTGCATTGATTTGGCATTTGGGCATGTCTGATTTAGATTGGAATTCAGTATATATTTGGGAAATGTATGGGAAATGTTTTTCTCATAGTTTGAATTTAGGACATAAGTTGAGAAAGCAGAGTCTCTCCTCTCTTGGTAGCTATCTCTATACATAAACACCTTAAGCATGTCAGTGTTTGATATATTCTTCCTAAAGGCAAAGCTCAGATCAGGAATGTGGAGTTCTTCCACTCTGGTCAGGAAGGCTGGACCGACAACACCGACCCTCGTTATTCTGTAGCTTTCCTAAACCTGGGAAAGGTACAGCAACACACACACAAACACACACACAATAAAATATGAAAAGAAATTCACCTGAATATTAACTTATTAATAAATCTAGAAGTGTTATGGTAGACATGTCCATCACATGTTGGAATTAAAATTATTTTAGATTTGATCACTGATTGGCAGCAGTAGTATAAAATATTTTAGAGAAATAGATGAATAATTCAATTCAAATGCAGAAAAATTCAAAAGCAAAAAGTATTTTGGAAGTAAGAATATCAAGATTTATGTTAGAACAATAAAAAAATTTATTTTATCTCCTGTAACATTCACCAGAAGTTCACATGATCACTAGGTGTTGTTTAGACTTGTTGTAGTTTACTAAAAAGGAGAAGGTATATGTTAAATGTGTAAAATTAATATTGTTTTAATCTACCTAAAAGGTTTCAGGAGACACAATTCAAGGTTGTGCTTTCCACGAGGGCTTCTCTCCAGCCATCGGAGTCTTTGGAACAGAGGGACTTAACGTTGACAACAACATCATCCATCACACTGTGGGAGAAGGTAAACATTGTGCTGTGAAACAAAGTGATGTAATTTTTCCAGCAAAGAAGAGGAACTCTAGTATGTGTTAAGATGAAGTATTAAAATGTGTTCCTGTTTGCAGGTATCAGAATTTGGGGCAACAACATAACCGTGAGGTGGAACCTGGTGATGATGACGCGAGTGCAGTCCTTCAACTTAGCCTGGAACGCTGCCATTGAGGTCTGTCCTCTCAAAATACAAAACAAACCACTTCTCCTATAAAAATCTATTACTGCATTTATCAGTACTGTTTTCTTTAGGTCAATGAGGGGACAAATGTGGTGCTGCAGAATAACATCGTGGCAGGCTACGAGAGAGTCGCTTATCGCATTGATGGTGAACCCTGTCCAGGTAACAAATGAGCTGAAAGGGTCTTTCTTTTTAAAACAGTACACTGAAAGTTCAAACTAAGGAAAAAGATGAAGAACAGAGGCCCTGAAAGATTTTACCCCAACCTGACTTCTGCCTGTGCAGGTTATTTTAACGGGAATCAGAAGTGGATTAACAACGAGGCTCACGGTGGTCTGTTCGGAGTCTATCTCAACAAAGACGGTTTGCCCGGCTGCAGCCTCATCCAAGACTTCTTCATCTGGAGGAGCTTTGACTACGGCATTTACTTTCAGGTTTCAGTACTGAAATTTCTATCACCTTGATTTCAATGTTCTGCCTTAATTTGACTGCATCAAGAGGAAGCAGTGTGGAGTTGTGCCTCTTAACCTGAGATCCACTGATGTAAAGGGTAAAAAAAATTTCAAACTCATAAACAATATAGAGAGCAAAATGAGCAGCTTGCTGCAATCCAGACGACAGTAGAAGGGCTTTTATGCATATTTTACCAAAAAACATTGTAGGGATCAAAGACTATTTTATAAATTTTGATGTGGAAGTAGTCTTATCTCTAAGCAAAGCCTAGACTTGTTTTAAATGAATTTCCTGCTGTTTATGTAGGGGTATTGCAGTTTGCTTTCCTCTTTTGGTCCATGGTTAATTCTGACTAAACCCTCATTTGTGCTAATATTATTTAAGGGAAAATCACTGATCGTAACACAGATGCCAAAGTTTATTTTGGATTTAAAGATCACATGTTCATAAGTTACAAATAAGCTTCTTAGTACCTGCGTAAGCAAGGTTTTTTATGCTCAGTATGTTTGTAAATATGAGGCCTTAGGAGCTGCAGGATTTAGATGATCTAGATTATTCAGAAGGAATATTAAAAGATCACTATTCTCCTCTTCTTCATCTTCCTCTCCACCGACATCACAGACCATCACTGATGTTGTTGTTTCCAATGTGACCCTGGTGGACAACGGGATGGGCATCATGCCGCTCATCTTCGCTCCTCCTTCTCTCTCTCACTCATATGCGGATAAAACTGTAACCATTCAGGTAAGCAGGTTTATTTTGATTGATTTAAGTTGTTCCTTTCCTCTCACACATCACATATCATTTACTTATACATTAGTTAATACATTTTATATTCCTTATACCCATCTTTTCCCAGGATGCCTTGATTGTTGGCAGCAGCCCGAGCTTTAACTGTTCAGATACTTTGCCTTCCACTGTTTTTAACAGTAATGGACATCGTGCCCCAAGACCTCTCAAAGGTACCGTACAAACTCCCTGATACTGTCAAAACACCTCATATCAGTGCTACAAAGTACACTAGATGCATATGTTTATTTATTGATTTTTATGTTTTAATTTAGGAATACTATGACATTTTAGGCTGAGAAAGGTCTAGAAAGTATACAGTGTTGAAACAGGCTTTAAAAGGCCTGTTTTATTATTTTATTCGTTCTATTATTTTCCTCAATAGGATAAGGCCAATTAACTTGGGAGATTTAAAAAACTAATTGTAAATTGTTTCAGCTGACATCTTGCTGATAGCTCTGTGATAGAGATTTGTGTTGGTACAGAAACAGCTTTTAGAATGAAAACGGTAAAGCTGGACCTTGACTTAATAAAGATCTTAAAAATTATAAGAGGTTCTAATTGTGTAATTTTGTCCATTTCACGTAAGCAACCAAGAACTTGAATTGTGTCCCTTTTTAATGCAGGCTGGGTGTGGGAAAAGATTTGTTATTTTGTGACTCTGTTTTCACTCTGTACAGGTGGCAGATCTGGAATCTGTTGGCCGACTTTTGGATCTCAACACAACAGTGCTCCAGTGGTGGCCCATCATCTGAACAACAACTACAATGCCATCAAAGGACTGATGAAAGTCAAAGGTGACTTGTGGCTCTGAGCTTTTGGGCCAAAGTTATGTTATGATGCTGCAAACAATGTTCACAATGATTTGAAGAAGAACATATTCCTTATTGCTCATTTCTCGTTGTAGACACAACATTCGTCAGTTTCCGAAACGTCTGCTCCAGTGAGACAAACTTCATGTTCATCACCAACCCACTCAACGAGGATCTGCAGCACCCTGTGCAGGTTTCAGCCATCAGGATGATTGACAGCACAGAGGAGGCCAAAGTCTTTGTCCACAGGCCAGATCTGAGGTAAATCATGGCACATCAGCAGATACTAGTATTATTAAAGCTATAGGAAAAGAATGAAAAAAATATTTCTAGTCTACAGGAACAATTTATTAAATTTGAGACATGATTAAATGTTAAATAGACTGCATTTATATAGTCATATATAGTCATGTCAACATTCACTCACTCACTGCAGAGACTGCAATGTTGATGACCTGCTCTACCTCTAAGCCTCAGAAATCAGAAATATTTTTCAGAGAAAAACATGAAAAATTAAATTTTGTTTTAGTGTTGAAGAGTGACCTGAATGTCTTTAAATTTATAAATAATATCATAATTTTTAGATATTTCCTGTTTTCTATAACTCTGCGAGTTGGCAGCAAGATGAATGCATTCATGCATTCAGCTTGCATTCAATATTGCTGCTTAAATTTAGGATTTAAACTGAAATAAAATAGTGTATTTTTACACAAGTCATTTTACAACATTTAATCAATTAGTATAATCTCGCTGCTCTTTTTGTATATAATGAAATAAAATCAATCACTCTGTTTTTGTGCTTTAGTAAAGTGAACCCGTCTGACTGTGTGGACATGGACTGCGATGCGAAGAAGAAGAGCTTGTTGAAGGACTTGGATGGTTCGTTCCTGGGTGCAGTGGGAGCTGTAGTGCCTCAGTCTGAGTACGAGTGGGGAGGTGATCCCAGGAGGGGGCTGGGCGACTACCGCATCCCAAAAGTCATGCTCACTTCCCTCAACGGCAGCCGCATACCTGTGAACAAGATCGCTCCACATAAAGGTAACAACAGAGAGGGAGTCTTTTTTGAAAAAAAAGATCAATACTAATGCAAATCAGATTCTGAAGTCCCCAGTTAAACAGTAGCTGCCTGGTACTACAGTTGTGTTTACTACAGTTGGCTCTACCACCTTTAAGTAGCCTAAATGTTTGCTTCTTTGATTTTCAAATTTAAAATTTTCACATGAAACAGAAGTGTAGGATTATAGGAACTGAAATTCAGTAGTCATCTATTCAGTCACCTAAGTTCAAGTCTCAGCATTCAGTTTCATAATGTGACCTTTTTTTTTTTAACTTATTTTCTTTCTTTTTTTAAAGATATTTTTGGGTATTATTGCCTGTATTTGATAGGACAGTGGATAGAATGAGAGAGATAGGGGTGACACATAGCAAAGGGTTGCAAGCTGGATTTGAATCTTGGCCGCTGCAGTAAGGACTCAGCCTTGAACATGGGGCAAGCACTCTACCAACTGAGCTAAACGCACCACACAATTCATTTTCTTTACCGGGACTGAAAACAGCCTCCGAGATCGGCAGAGTTTTAACAACAGAGAATACAGTACTGATGTGATTTACAGATTACAAATACAGAGAGCCAGGAGAGGCGTCAATTGAAAAAGAAGCGAGAGGGAGGTCGAGCATTAGTGGCAATGGCATCATGTTAATGTTAGCATGTAGAATATTGTCACATCTAACTCTGTGAATTATGGGTTTAGTTCGACCAAACCAGAGTTGGTGGCTGTTGGAAGAGTGGAAAGACTAACCAAGATGATTTTGAGTTTTGATTTGTTTCTGTCAAGTTTGACTAAAGTATGTTATATTTAAGTTAACAAGGCAGTAAAGCTAGTTTCAGTTTGGTAAAAGAGAGAAACTTGAATTCAGAAGGTGCACGATTGTATTTTTCTGTTTGATAAGGGAAATAGGTGCAAGAATGTTTCCCTGTGTTGGCATGTTGCAAGTTTATTTTGTTTTTTTATTAGACTTAAAAAGTTAGAGCTTGTGTAATGTAGTAAACTTGCTCGCACACATCTTACAGCTGAAAGAAATGGCCGGGCCTGAGCTGTACTAACAGACTATTGCCTCTTTAGGTACAAAGTGGTACTACACAGGACGGGCCGAGGCTGGCTTGTTAGCATGCTAACTTCTAAGATATCTCTGCAACACAATGCAAAGCCATGGCCTATTTAACATGATATCAGAGCACTGACTTCTTCACACAATTTGGCTAATGTAATTTTTTTTCATGATTTAAAAAAAAATTCTGGCAATGTCACATTGTACCTTTTAAAATAAGGGTTCAGTAGCCACAGTACAAATTCAAATCAATGCATTAGTTTTTTGGTTTTATGCTTGCTGTTTGGAGAACACCAATTCTGCTGGTAAGTAACAACATTTCCAAAATACTGTGTTGATTCATTTGTCCTTAGGTGTGATCAGGAAAGACTGCATGTACATGAGTTCCTGGCAGAGCTACAAGTGTTTCGGGCTGAACTACAGGATGCTGGTGATTGAGAGTCTTGACTCTGACACAGAGACCAGACGTCTGTCCCCCGTCGTTGTGCTCGGAGATGGCTTTGTAGATCTTATCAACGGTAGATTGAGTCCTGTAGTTCTGAAACGATAAAAACCCAGAATAATCTAAATGATCTCTCAGTGGTCATTAAATTGAAAGAACATGCTTTAATTCAGTGGTACGTATTTGTATCCAGGTCCTCAGGATCATGGTTGGTGTGCGGGGTACACCTGTCGAAAGAGAGTGTCTCTCTTTCACAGCATCGTGGCCATTGGACACTCCTTTGACGTCTTCTTCACCAGCGTCAGCCCTCAGAAACTTCGCCTCATGATGCTCAGCGCTGAAACATCTGAGGTCAGTGCATCATGGTTTTTCATTTGTAGAATACTTTAAACTTGACTCCTGGGTCAAAAGTCAAACATATAAAACTTAACTTTAGCGTTACTACAGTTACCTATTTTCCACTTTTCACTTAGACACCTTTTTGTTTTTTTGATTTATGCAGAGCATCATGGTGTCAGTCTTCTACTCCAGTCCGCAGCGGTTGGATGTGTATGTTGACAACAAGCTGATGGCTCCGACTAACGCTGACTGGAATGCTGCCAACACTGACTATACCCTGAAGGAGCCCATTTATGCAGGTAATAATTACACACACAAATAATGTTATCCATCCATCCTCAACTGCTTATCCTGCGTACAGGGTCGCGGGGGGCTGGAGCCTAACCCAGCTGACATTGGGCGAAAGGCGGGGTACACTCTGGACAGGTCACCAGTCCATCTCAGGATATAATGGGATTTAGTAAATAAAACAAGCAGGGTCAGGCCTACAGTATCTATTAAACTGTCTGTTCGTAATATATCGAGTGTGGTTCTGCTCTTATTTGCCGTTAATGTAATCACATGTGGAGTAAAGGCCAGAACAAACATTTTTGTAGTGTTTGTTTGCATCTGATTGTGTTGCTTGTTTGCTTTTGGAGATGTATTTAAAAAGATCTGGCCACATTTCTCCTCTATTTTCAAAATTGGACAACTACCTATTAATGTGATTAATGTTATGGATTTATGAATGGGGTGTACGTGTTTGGTCTGATAAGGAATCTCTGAGAATGGTTAGTTTACCAATTTATATTGGGGAAAAATTATTAGCAATAGTTCAGTCAGGACAACTTTCATCAAAGACTGATATTGCGGCATTGTAGTGGCGGTATGGCTCTGTTCTGGGATCTCCCTGCTCTTCCACATGCCTATGTGGAAAGCATAAGGCAGAGAGAGCACACCTCTCTGTCCATTTGCATACAAGGAATGAACGAGGCAGAGAGCAGCAGTAAAGAACCCCTGTACAGAACAGAGCGGCATATGCGATTTACATGTTTAATCAGATACTAGATGGGCACTGAAGCATGGTGTTAAAATGGCCTGGGGCTGATGACCTTACTGTTTAGTATCAGGATACAGCCTCAGCTGCTCTGTGTCGCCTCTTGCACACGAACACACACATGCGGGCTCAAACGCACAAACATTGTCAAGCGCAGAGATACAGTAGGTCGTGGACACTTTGAAGTGAAGGTAACTCCAGCTACTCGAGTTGACGACAACTACCTTCGTTACTGTAGTATGTGCAATAAAACCTCAAAAGACAACTTTGTCGAAACATCTGTTAAAAAAGCATAACATATAGATAGGGGTTATTTGATCTGCTCTGTCTCTCATCCTATATGTTGTTAAAAGCACACCAGGCTAGCGCTAGCTTGGCAAAGCTAGATGTACAACGAGTTAAATGAAAGCTGTCTGTAGTCAAACTGTTAAGCTTAGATTGCCATGTCGCTTCAATCTGCATATTGTTGCCTGCAGTGAATCCTGCAGAGACAGGTGATGGAGGACAGGAGCTCGCTGCCTGAACTGCGTCTGTGTGGCTCTATCCACGCGCAGCAACATGACGCCCAGTGTGGGGGCGCAAGTTGGCGCAAGTTTGATTCTATTGGGACAAATTCATTTCCCGATATGCTTCCAATAATGAGATATGCCCGATCGGCAAATACTTATCGGATCGATAATTATTGTACATCCCTGTCAGATAGGGTAAAGGTGGAGCTGTTTGCATAGGAAGCAGCAAGGGCAGGCAGGTAGGCTATGGCAGCTTAAATAGGCACTTTGTAAGGAATTTGCCAGTGAATGCTAAGAGAGGAATCAGCTGAGCTGTCAGATCTCCGCCTCCTGCTGAGGACACAACCAGGGTAACATCTCAAGTGAAGAGACAGTGAACAGAGAGACGGTCGAGCGGAGTCAATGGTGGAAAGGCAACTTGTTTTTGGGACTGCTTTGGCGGCTGTTAGGCTACTCGACGTCTGTGGGGAGGTGTGCGGGGACACTGACCGACGGCCTGTATAGGTCCAGAATGGTCTTCTGGCGCTGCTCCTTGCAGGCGAGAAGGGTGGCTTGGTGGTTGCTTGGGCTCACTCTCTGACGAGTTGGGCGATCAGTAGTGGTGGCTCATTCAAATTATCTGGATTATCTATATCTCCTGGTAGTGGGTGTTATTAGTAGAAGCAGAAGTGGTGTAGTAGCGTAGCTTATGACTACGGGAAGGGGTGGTGGGGATGAGGGAGGTGGATGGAAGGTAGTTAGTAAAGGAAGTCAGAAAAGAGAAACATCGAGTGAAAGGCCAGATGTATCTGAAGCAGTTAGGGAAAAAAATTATGAAAATGAGTTCTAAAGAGTTTGTGGTGCTATTTCAAGTCAAGGATCAGAAGCAGGGAGGTGGTGGATTTAGAGCATTAAACCCACTGAGCGTTACTACTGCCTTGGATAGTCAGATTGGTAGGGGAGCTCTAGCTAAAATACTGTCAAATGGGTCTCTGAGAGTTTGTTGTAAAGATAAAAAACAATATGAAATCGCCAAGCAGGTGGGGAAGTTGGTGGTTAAAGTTGAGATTGTAGTCCCTAGAGAGAGGCAAGCAATCAAAGGAGTCATATATGGAGTGTATACTAGATTGTCAGATAAAGAAATCTTAGACAATGTTAAGGGCGCCCGAATGGCTAATGTTATGAGGTTCAAGAATAAGGAAAGGAGCAATAGGGACTCACCAGTCCTGCTTACATTCGAAGGTAATGTTATGCCAGGGAAAGTATTTCTTGGAAGTATGGCATATCAGGTAAGAGAGTACAAAAGACCACCCTTGCGCTGTTATTATTGTCAGAGGTTTGGACATGTAGCAGGCTCTTGTCGGGCTAAAGGGAAATGTGGGAAATGTGGTGGGGATCATGAATATCAAGCGTGTAAAGCAGAGGCCCCCACATGCTGTAATTGCAGAGGAGATCATACAGCAGCATTTTGTGGGTGTAAACATTTTGTTTGGGTCCAAGGGTCCAGACAGTGAGAGAACATCATAAGGTCTCATATGCAGAAGCAGTTAACAGAGTCAACAGAGAACAGGGAGTTGGGACCAAAAGTCAAACAGCATTCAGCAAGTCTCCCCAGTTGCTCCAGCATTCTCCCAAGATACAATCATTTTGAGTAGAGAAACATTTCTGGCTTTCATTGTGGATGTGCTGGTAGGAGCAAAAGCATCAGTTAAGAGATCAGACACAATCAAAATTGTGGTCGAAGCAACTGAAAGATTCCTGGTTGTAAATCAGTTCCTACCTGAGCAGTTATACAAGTACATGAAAGGAGAGCCCAGAGGAAAATGTGAGGACTTCACAGATATCACGACCAGAAAGTATGGAGGAGGTGCTTTTGGACAGTGATGATGGTGATTAATAGTTTGATGTTTTATATTCTTCAGTGGAATGCCCGGAGTCTTATTGCTAATGGACAGGAACTAAAGAGATTTGTAGATGCATTCAAAGAGAAAACACAACTGATATGCATTCAAGAGACCTGGTTAAAGGCTAGTCTTGACTTTGTTATTCAGGGGTATGAATGTTTGAGGAAGGATAGGTCTTATAGACCAGGAGGGGGATGTGCAACTTTAATTAAATCAGGTCTCCAGTGGAAGTTTGGAGTAATCATAGTCCAATAACTGTTATAAATCTGTATAATCCTTGTAAACAATTGGTAATGTCTGAATTTTATGAGATTATGGAGCATGTGAGGGAATCTGTTATATGGGTTGGGGATTTTAATGCCCATAACCCATTATGGGGAAGTGATAGTAAGAATTATAATGGCGAGATGGTAGAAGACTTTCTGGACAAGTATGATCTGGTAGTGATAAATGATGGAAGGGCCAACTAGGTTCCACATTGGTAGGAATACCAGCAGTTGCATCGATTTATCAGCTGCCTCCTCAAGATTATACAGAATTGGAGAATGGGATATTATGGACAGATATAGATATACTATGGGCAGTGACCACTATCCAATTTTATGTAGGTTTGGAAGACAATTAAGAAAAGAAGAAGAAGAGATAATTCCAAAATATAAATTTGCTCAGGCTAAATGGGATGAGTTTCAGGAGAGAACTAAATATTTAGTTGACACAGTGGACAATGAAACATCTGTAGATGTATGCATCCCTCAGTTCTTTTATTCATAAGGCAGCTCTTTGTACCATTCCCAAGAAACATTCCCAAAAACAAAAGCCAAGAACTCGTATGTTGGTGCCTTGGTGGAATAAATATTGTGATGTAGCGGTAAGAGACAGAAATCGAGCGTATAGAAAATTAAGAAAGGATCCAATAGTGGATTTTGCAGTGGAATATAAGAGATTAGGGGCAGTAGCAAGAAGAGTAATTAAGAATGCAAAGAAAAATAGCTGGAGAAGATTTTGTGAAACACTGGGCCCTGAAACTCCTGTAGGACACTTGTGGTCAGCTGTGCATAGAATGTCAGGTCTGTATAAGAGGAAATCAATTCCGGTTTTACAGAAAGGTGGGGTGGAAGCAATAACCAACAAAGACAAAGCAGACATGTTTGTTGAAGTTTTTCAAGCAGTGCACAATTCTGGTAATTTAGGAGCTGAGAGCATTGTGAAAAGGACTCATCTGTTGGCAGTTAATAAGTGGAAGTTGAACCGGAATTCTGATAATGAAAATCCAATCAGTTTGTATTTCTCCATGAAAGAATTGAGGGATGCTATTAATTCTGGTGCAGACACTACCCCTGAGAGAGATGGCTTATCATATGAATTATTTAAACATCTGGATGACTTAATACTTGACGAAGTTCTTGCTCTGATTAATACTGTGTGGGGAGAGGGTTGCTTGCCAGAAGAATGGAAACATGCAGTTATAATCCCTATCTTGAAACCAGGCAAAAGTGCAAGTGACCCAAGCTCGTATCGGCCTATTAACATCAGTGCTTTGCAAAATCATGGAAAGAATGATAACAAATAGATTAGTTTACTTTTTAGAAAGTAAAGGACTTTTTACTGAATTTCAAAATGGTTTTAGAAAGGGAAGATCAACAATGGAGTCAGTACCAGTTTTAGATCAAGATATCAAGAAGGCATTTAATAATAAAGAAGTTGTGGTAAGTGTATTTTTAGATATTGAGAAAGCTTATGACTGCTTGTGGAAGGAAGGACTGATGATTCTAATTTGCGATCTAGGAATTAGAGGTAGAATGTTTAATTGGATCAAAGATATTTTAATGAATAGAACAATACAAGTGCAAGTGTGTGGATGTAGATCAAAATGTGTTAAAATAGAAAATGGTACCCCTCAGGGAAGTGTCATAAGTCCAGTTTTATTTAATATAATGATAAATGATATATTTAGTAATTTTGGAAGAGGGATTGGGCAGTCTTTATTTGCAGACGATGGGGCCATTTGGAAACGAGGTAGAAACACAGAGTTTATTTTAAAACAAATGCAAAAGGCTTTAGTCACTGTGGAGGATTGGGCATATAAATGGGGATTTAAAGTTTCTGTGGCAAAGTCTAAATTTATGATATTTGGCTACAAGAGAAAGGTACCACATTTTGGATTTTGTATGTATGGTACCCCTCTAGAGAGAGTGAAAGAATTTAAATTTTTGGGTGTCTGGTTTGACAAATGACGTGGGCTGTTCATGTTATGAACATTTTGTCAAAATGTGACAAGGTGTTAAATACAATGAGAAGTCTGGCCGGATGTGACTGGGGGGCAGAAAGGGGCTCTATGCATTTAGTATACCAGGCAATGATAAGGGCCCTAATCGACTATGGATGCTTTGTTTATGGTTCTGCAGCCCAGTCGATGTTAAGGAAGTTAGACACTCTGCAGGCTAAGGCTCTGAGACTCTGTTGTGGAGCTCTCAGGACATCTCCAATTCCTGCTCTGCTTATTGAAATGGGTGAAATGCCCTTATGTTTAAGGCGTATTAAGTTGGGAATGCAGTATTGGGTCAAATTGAGTGGGTCTAATCTAGCACTCCCAACTAGGTGCCTTATGCATGGATCGTTGGACTGAAAATAAGAAACAAATCATTTTTTGAATGCATAAATCAGTGGACAAGAGAATTGAGAATGATGCAAGAAGACACAGCAAATCTACCTATTCCTTATTGGTTAATGCAAGAAATGGATATTGATTTAACTTTTTAACAAGAAAAGAAAAAAACATTTGACTGCTCTAAAATTGGAACAATATCTGAACAGTGGGAAGGGATCACATCTGAAAATTTTTACAGATAGTGCCAAGGAACCAGAGAGTGGGAGAGCAGGTTTTGGGGTGTATATAGCTCAACTGGACCTTTGGATTAGCAAGAGAATTACAGATGGAAGTGCTGTCTTTACAACAGAACTACTGGCAATTCTTTGGGCTCTGTGGTGGATTGAGGACGTGAAAATAAGAGAAGCCTTAATCTGCTCTGATTCTGCAGCTGCCCTGATGGCCTTGAAAGGCGGTAAAGCAAAAGCCCATCCTGATATCATAAGTGAAATACTAGCATTGGTAGCAATGTTACGTTCTGCTGGGTCCCGGGACATGCTGGAATTGAAGGAAATGAAGTAGCAGACCTTTTAGCAAAATCAAGCTTAAAGAAGTTAGAGACAGATATAAATATATCATTGGGAAGAGTGGAAATAAAAGAAAATATTAAACAGAGTATTGAAGGGGAATGACAAAGATTGTGGGAAAATGAGACCAAGGGGAGACATTATTACTCTTCTCAGGTTAAAAAAGTCAGGCACTGTTATGGATCCAGAAGAGATTCTGTTAAAATCTGTAGGTTAAGACTTGGGCATTGTGGGTTGAATCAGTCCTTAAATGTCATTGGAAAGCATCCTAATGGGCTTTGTGAGTGTGGGAACTCTGAAACAGTGGAACATGTTTTGCTGAAATATAACAAATACAATATAGAAAGGAGCCTTTTATTCAAGAGATTATCAGATTTGGGAGTTCTGTCATTCTCAGTCAAATCTATATTGGGTCAAAATGAGAACCACCACTTGATTGTCAAAGTAGTATTACAGTTCTTACACGATACAGGGCTATATTAAAAGAATTTGAAGCAACAACGTTTTCACTA